AACGCATTTTTTGGGGGTTTTTCGGGTACACGCAGAAGAAAACTCGTGAAACAGAATTCACTTTCCCGGGGGCCAGATCAGGTGGGGATCGTTTTGCAGCACCCTAGCCCCACTTAAGCCAAGAGCCATTTGGGCTGAGTTTTGGTCGAATCACTACCTGCGCTCGTGTGAGCGACTGTAGGCAAAACCGATTGCCCATTCTGAATCCAGGTATCATTCTTCTAGAAACCCAACACCAAGGGACGACAGTGTGTTCTTAAAAGAACTATGGTTGAAAGGAATGGTGAATCAAAGCCTACTCTGCAAGCCAGGCATGCCCAAAAGTACTCTTCTCGCTACACAGGGCTGATGTTTCAGCGCTCGATGCAGGGACACTGCCCGATTTGGAAGTCCGCATGTGTATTTGAGCACCAGCTTGGTGTTGCACGCTTGCGAGCCATTTTTGAGATCCTGTTGAGATTGTTGAACATGTTGAGGTTCGCCGATATGGACCGGAATCAAATGTTATGCTTTGGTTGGGGGCAAGACCCGAGGTGGATTTTTTTATTTTTGCCGCGGATCCAGGAACCGCGAAGCATTCTCGGCCATTTTTGTGTTTCGCTTGACTTGAAGCCGGTGGGTTTGCCCAAAAAGGAGCGAAGTCGATGGGCGATGCGGCTGAGGAGTGTGCAAACGAGTCGCCCCCCAAAAGGATTTTTCTTTACGTAACGGGTCGCCGCCATAGGCCACTGCCAGAAACCAGAAGGGCACGCTGCCCGAGACCTATGGATACCAGGCGCGCGGAAGGGGCGTTGGACACTGCCACGCTTCTTGCGGCTGGTTTTCGGGACACTGAGGGGACAGTTTTTTTCTTTTTTTTTTCTCGGAGGCTTTGTACGTCCCCCCCTTCTTTGTTGCCGGTTCGAGCGAAAGAAAGAAGCGGATTCCCGTTTAAGGGAAACACCCGTAAAGCAGTGCTCCTCAGCCACCAAAGGCGCTTGCGGCCAAATTGGTGAACCGAGACCTTGGGCTTTGATAGCAAATGCCGTCGATCGGCACTTTGCCAGATTGGCGCTTTATCTAGTAACAGCCAACACCTTAGCTTTGCGGATGTTGCGCATACATTCTACAGGCTTTGGGCAGCTAAGCAGCTAGGGCTCGGGCAAGAACCCGCAAGGTCGAAAAAAACAGTCCCTAAGTTTGATCGTCGGAGGTCGCGGCGCATGAGTAGCGCAACTTCAACAGCAGCACACGCATAGACAGACGGCAGTTTAGATCTCTTGCTTTCTCGGCTTCGAAGTGAGTAACTCCACAATAACAACCGGCTAGTATGAAGTCATAGTAAATCTCTCCTTTGTGGATGTACAAGCTTGAGGGCCGCGTCGCCGGAAACAGCTTTCGTACTTGGCACCATTCCATTGGTAATGTTTTCTTTGGCTCCAGCACACCAGTTTCACAGTTTCCTAGACTGTGTCTCTTTTTGAGGGTACCCTTCCAGGGGTTGGCTCAAAAGGAAGCCAAACGGACACCCTTCCATTTTGGGACGTCCCCTAGACAAAGACATGCCCAGATCTTTTTGGGAGCCCAGTTGGAATGTAGACCAGAGCCGGAAACTCCAGCGCGTCAGTTGCAACTGCAATAGTTCCGCTTCTCTGCTTTCGGCAGGTGTTTTCTTTCTACAAGCACCGTGTTCCTCCCAAGGCATCAACTGCAATTGATGGTTTCCATGTTTACTGACAACCTACATTATGAGCTGGGTCCCTGTCCATTGGATTGGTGGTCGCCTTGTTGCAGAATGACAGGGTTTATTGAGGGCTCGACGTTGGGCCTTTTCGTCATGGCACCGGCGAGCCCTTGAATGTCTCAAACAAAATAGTTGAACTCCCTAAAAGGTATCCCTTCAAACATCTCCCCAAAACTGGGCACCTCACTCGACACCCTTTGGTTTTGTCGAAGCCTCAGGGATCACAGAGCGATGCAGCCTGGCCTTGAACGCGCACTTGTACAGCAGCAAATGTGTGGCTTGTTCCAGTTTTCAGCCCAGGCAAGCAATCTTCACCCCTCCCATCCACCACCATGGGACTCTGTCTGGTCCTTTCGGGCGCCCAGGCCGATGTGGCGATGGGCATTGGATATTGGATGGAGGCCTCTCGGACGCCCTGGGAAGGGGCGGCGCTTTTTTTTTTGCTTTTTCCAGACAAAGACAAAGGGCAGGCCCACTTTGGCTGGTTTGAGATAGCGGCCTTGAGCACTTCACATGATCTGCTGGAGCTCGGGATGGTCAAACCCTGAGCTTTATATTAATTACTCACAGAACTAGGCAGAAACCGTTTGGGATCAATCCCCACCCCCCCTCTTCAGGACAACTCTTTTTAGCCACCCCTTGCTCTGAACTCCAATGACCAAGCCAGGGACCAATTCTTGTCCTACGCTTCTGAGAGGGCCCCATGTTGGAACAACATGCTGCGGCGTCAAGACAAGACTCCCCCCGCCCTACGCGCGCAGACGACGAACCAATGCAAAGTCGTGGAAAAGCCCTTTGTCGTCCCCAACGGCTTGCCGGTGCCCAAGCTGGTCGATGAGCCGATGATGTTTCACTCTGTGAAAGGAGATTCAAGACTCCCCTTAGCGAATTCCCGTATAGGGGGTATGGATTGAGATTGGGAGCCGATCTTTTCAAGGGGTCCCCTCAAGTGCACGGATGTCTGCGAAATCGCGGGAGGCTATAGGGGGATATCCCACAAGCCAGGCAGAAGGCCGTAAGCCTTTGGATCTCCTGACCAACTGTTCAATTCCCAGCGAGTCCGAGTTGGTGTTTGCCGAGGGATGACTTTCAGGGCTATGTGATTCTCTACGCCTACTGCAGCGAGGACGGCCGGCGTCCTGATGACTTTGATGTGGTCCAGTGCCCCACACCTATCTTGTTCTGTTAGAGCCTCTTGCTCCTATTGGATCTTCGACTTTTGCCAGAGTCGCCGGTGCCCAAGAGTGGTGGTTTTCTGGCACCTTTTTGGATTTTGTTTCACAATTGAGGGTTCACTTTGGGGAAGAATCGATCACACGTTGCTTGGGGGGCCTGTAGGCTAAGTGATTTGCCGTAGCCCTTGTGTCCTTCTGCCAAGCGGCTTTCCTTCCTCACATTCTTGTATCTCTAGGACTTTGAAGAGCTTTTTTCAGACGATCGCTTGTGTGCACAAAACGTCTGGACCTTCCCTGACTCCCTGAGTTCATGGACTTTAAACTTTGCTGAAGACAAGATTGGTTGTACACAAACAGTTTGGACTTTGTTTGATGCATCGACTCGATCGGAAGTGAGTTTCTGACCAATCCAGTCAGCGCTCCATTCACCGGCCAGAGCTGTCGCGAGGAGGGTGTGAAGTCCATCCTGGAGGGTCAGCTGCCGCCCATGCTTCCGGCCACCACCAAGGAGCGACAAGAGACACCCGAAAGGAAAACAAAACAGACTTGGAGAAGTAAAGAAACACACAAGGAATAAATACACGAATAATCATAGAGAAATAACCATATGTATATATATATAGTCACTAAATGCGACGTCAAACAACAAATGAATGAACGATTCTGAATGAATTAATGCATGAGTTGAATGACACATGACGGAGTCACGGAATGAAGGAATGAAGGAATGAAGGAATGAAGGAATGAATGAATTAACGAATGAACGAATGAACGAATGAACGAACGAACGAATGGATGAATGAATGAATTGATTAGCGAACAAATGAAATGAAAGAAAGAGACAATGACCAGATGAAGGAATGAATGCATGCATGCAGGCCTGCATGGATGGATGGACAAATGAAGGAATAATTGAAAGAAGGAAGGAACGAACGGCCGAGTGAAAGACGAAGATGAATGAATAAGTTAATAATCAACCTAATAGATACAGACATTCAAAACTACGTAATGAATAAAGGAGTAACAACTATATACGTATAAGCACATGAACAGTTACACAAGCACATGACCAACCACTCAATCAAACAACCAAACAAGCAAGCACACAGACAAACAAGCAAACGCACAGAGAGACAGACGCAAATAGATAGATAGATAGATAGATAGATAGATCGATAGATAGATACTTCAACCACACAGAACAGTACACACATAAGTTGCATAAACAAACCCCTTTTGAAACAATAAATACAGCAAACGCAAGACAACACATACAGCACCGCAAGGACACCACCTAATTGAACATACACATGGGCATGTATACAGGTAAATAAATGCATACGCAGACAGATACATACCATACATACAGGATGAAATCAATACATACATAGACAGACACACCAACAAGTACATAAATGCACTTCTGCATATACAGCAAACTAACTGAGTACATAGGCAACTACATCAAATATGCAATAAACACAAAACTACGTAAATAAGTTACACGCACCTAAACACACAACTACACATACACACACACACACACGCAAACAAATAGCTAACCATGTGTATATATATATATATATTATGCATGTAGCCATGGGTGTGTGCTGTTTGGAGGAATCCTCTTCTACCGCCATTTGACATGCTTAATTTCCGACAGTTGCTATGTTACTGGCGGGGGGGTGGGGGGTACGCTTGTAGGTGTTCGAGCAGGAAAGGCGTCGAACCTTTTGGGCGACGTGCGGAAACCCCAGGAAGCGGTGGACCATGATCAAGTCCAACCTGCGGTTCCCGTGGCTCGAGCAAACCGGAGGTGAACTGAACCGGGTCTGCTTCAGTGTGGGCAAATCCCTCCCCCAATTTTTGCGCCGAGAATCATGGTCTCTCTTAAAGAGAAGCTTCTCTTTCGAGAGGGGAAAAAAGTGGTTCATCCTCAAAAGGGGCATGGTTCCAGTCCTCACATTCGCAGCTCTTTTGGTTCCGCAATCGGTTTCGGTGTCCGGGCTCCGGCTGCGGGTTCCGTGGCTTGGATGGCAGGAGCCCTCCAGCTTCCCCACGCTGGAGGCGATCTCCGAGAACTTCGGCGCCAAGGATCCCAAGGCCAGGGGGGGCCACGGGTCGGTGGGTCGGCGCCACGGGGCGGCTGGGGGAGGGCTGAAATGGGAAAATGACCTGGGGGGCCGTGTGAAGGGATTCAGACCACTTTTTTTTCAAGGGGTGAACACACTTTGCCGTTTTTTTTTTTTTTGGGGGGGGGACGGGGTTTTATGAATCCTAAAACTCATTGCTTGCTTTTCGAGGTTCGTCTCGTGTTTGGTGTGGAGCTCAGGCAAGGGAACGGAACGCGTGGCGCGTTATTGCGGAGAACTACCAATCTGCCATAGGACAACTTTTGCTGTGCAATCTACCAATCTGCCATAGAACTACCAATCTACCCATCTGCTGGCAAATGATTGGGGCCAACTTGTGCTGCGCAGCACGCAAAAGGAACATCAGCCCAGCGTTAACCCCAACTTGAGCCCAAGTCGTCCGCTTGCGGACCCCGAAGTCGAGGCCGCGTCGGTGAACTCGAAGTTCTGCGTGGCGCTGCGGGTGCCTGCAGAGCTGACGACCAAGGCGGACACCCCAGGCGGGTCGGGTCATCGGGGGTTTGTTGAGCGTCGAAAGCCGGGAGGGCGGGGTGAGCGTCTTGCTGAGCGGTGAAGCGTCTTGCTGAAATGAAGATGTTGTGTTGTCTTGTGGGATTTAAAGGGAATGGATTTCGCTGGACATATGGCTTTTTTGGTCCAGGGGCCTTTTGGGGGCCCCAAACAGGGGGCCCCTTTTGGGGGCCCCTTTTGGTTTTGTTTCAATGGCAAATTTAAAAGGAACCGACTATTTTGGGGGTCCTCTAATGTTGAGACACATCCAATTGCACACAATTTTTCTGATCATGGCTTGATTGGGTTTTTGCCACCCCATTCCACTTGGGCAAGGCTTGACTTCCAGACAGACAAGAACCAACAAATTGACTCGGGGAAAAACAAGAAAATAAAAAACGCCGGCGAACATTGGCGGTGTGATATTGGCACTCAGGGTATCGCATTGCATGTTTCTTTCTGGATTCGCACTGGGTGCAACGCCCCTTCGTGGTGGTTCTGTGGGAGGAGGGGGATGTCCCTTGCTTTTTTTGTTTTTTTCGGTGGGCCTTCTTTCCAGTGGACATAATCCTTGGATTTGAGGCCACCGGATTAAATATTTTCAGAATCCGCTTTGGATTGGGATTTGAACCCCAGTTTCTTTTGGTTGAAATGCCAAGCCTCCAAATGACCAACAAAGGGTCTCTTCCATTTTGCTCAAGCAGGTTTATATACTTCCCTTGGTGTTCCAGCGAGTTTATCACTGGACATTTGGCTATGAATTTTAATGGGGAATCCCGTGAAAGTGATGGGTGGGCATAAATCCCCACGGAATTTCGAGTCCACCAAAGGGTCCCCATTTAAAATTGATTCATACCCATTTCTTCTCCAGACTTGGGGTAAGGAAGCTTGGAGCCCGACGGAAAACTCGCGAACGAAGCCAGGCAGAGATTTGTGGATCGTCCGCTTCGACCAGGCGGAAGTTGAGCTTGGGCGACGCAGATGTCTTCAATGGGAAGGGATCACCCAGTTGAGGGGGCTCTCAAAATGGCGGGCCATGCCACCTTTTGGTTAGTTTAAAAGGGGAAGCCAAAGGAAACCTCCAGAAGTTTCGCATTTTGAGAGCAGCCCAGTTGAAGAACCCAAAAGTCACATTGGTCATATTGTCAGTTCACATGATGATTTCCGATGGGACAACCGAACAACAAGGGCATGTCCCAATTTTCTCATGCCTTCTTGGAGAACTGGCTTCCTTTTTCAGTGGGCCACGTGTAGACATCTTCGACGGGCAGGGCTTTGGAACCATCGGCGTGCGGCGCGACCAAAGATGGGAGGGGCTCCTCTCCGGATTCGCCTGGAACCAACCAGAAACCGAAAAACCGGATCCGTGTTTTGGAGGAGCCTCCATTTGGGGGGATACCAACCCAGCCAGCTCCTTGCGGATTTGCGGTTGAGCAGTTGTACCTTGTGGAGTGAATCTGCTTCTCGGGAGCTGTTTCCAGTTCAGGGATGTCGAGGTAGTGTGGCGAGAAGGATGCGTGCCAATGAGACTCGGCTTTCAGGATTGATTCGAGCGGTTGCGACCCCTCCCCAACTGCCAAAGTCAGACTCCAGCCTCTTATCTGAGCTCAGGTTCTCGGCAAAGGCATCTGATTGGCGACAGAACACCTTCAATGAAGGTTGCTCTCTTGGGGGTTCCATTTCTTATTCCGGTTGCTGAGCAGTTCTAATTCATGAGGTTTCAGGGCCCCGTCCTATTGAAAGATGTACAGCCAGGCTCTCTGTTGGAGGCATGCCGAACTCGCCGAACTTGTGGCAAGAAGGCGGAACCCTGCACAAAAGCTGGATTGTTCAAAGGCAATCCTCAATTCTTGTTTTGGGTTAGGGAACTGGTCCCCCTTCCAGTTGTTTGGGTGGTCAAACTTAAACCCCCAGACCGCAGATTTGGGTAGGGGTCAAAGTTAAACCACAAGGGGACCGCAGCTTTTTGTCCATGTTTCCGTTTACCAGGGTTCCATGTCGGGCACCAATTTTTGACCCACAGCCATTTGAGTCCTTAACCCATTTCGGGCATCCCCCATTTTAGGTGGTGTTTGACCCACGGCCAGCTTCCTAGGGAAACTCGGTGACTCCTCGCCAGGACTTGATTTCGCCCTTCCTACAGGCGACGCCTCCTTTCCGGGAGGGGGAAAGGTGGCTGCAGAAGATTGATTGATGAGGTCTCCAAAACAAAGAACCATATTTGGTGGACAAAATACGAAAGAGTCAGACAATAAGGTTTTCTGTAATCTAGATGTAGGGCAAGCATGGTTGTGGAAAATGGGGGGCGTATTGGTCTCACTTGCTGCGAGCCCGCAGAATCCCCTTCTTGAGAGCCCACTTTGGTCTCACAGAAAATTCATCATCCACAGCCGTTTGGAGGTTCCCGTTTGGGGCCAAGAGTCTCCGAGCCAAAAACCAAATTCAGCATGTGCTCTCATGGGCGAAATTTTGCTCGGGTGCCGGATCCAGCCACCGGCCTGGGGCTCCACTGACCAAAAAGGGAACAGGGAAAGAGAGGCATGACATGGCATGGGCTTTGGGGTGGGTCGGTCTTTTAGGGGATCCCCCCCCTCATCCGGGTTTAAAACCACACACACACACACTGGGTACCCTTAAGAAAAGACCCAGCCATTTGCGTGGACAGTTGTGTGCATCACCATGGGTTCTAGTTCGATTTCCTGGCGACATCTGCCGGATGACGTCGGGCGCAGGAATGTAAGCGGTGGACCAGAAGCATTGTTAGACATATATATATATATACATATATATATATACACATATATATATATATATTCAAAACTCATGCAAGAATGATGCCTAGCGCCAGCATTTCTGACCCACAAGGGTGGGTTCCCTTTAAACAGCTCCCCTTGCGGTACCCTCAAAAAGACGTTCCGCCTGCGTTCAGCCCGGCCAGGCAGCCAAAGAGGGCAACGCAAGGGGCCTCGGCGTTGTATCCTTATTTGGCTTGCTTTGCCATTGTCTTTTTGGAAGCTCCCAAGCCATGGTCATATGCGTATTTCTTTTGTAGGGTACTCGTAGCCCCAAAGGCACACCCCAGATTTCTAGGTATTGATTCTGACCGTTTCCGGCGGAGGGAGTGACAGACAATTTTATGTAGCGTATGTCGGCGTATGCATTGTGTAAAAGATCCATATTCCGACCTGTGCAAGTTTTGAAGACTCCCCTGGCAACTTGGGTTGAATGAATCTGGTCATTAGCCCTTGACCACTATAAGGGAAATCGGATACACAAGCCCCAGGCCATTTTACTACTACTACTACTACTGCTACTGCTACTGCTACTGCTACTGCTACTGCTACTGCTACTGCTACTGCTACTGCTACTGCTACTGCTACTGCTACTGCTACTGCTACTGCTACTGCTACTGCTACTGCTACTGCTACTGCTACTGCTGCTACTACTGCTTGATTCAGTTGCGGGGAAAGCCCATACCAACCTCCATGTGGGGTGGACCTCAGGTGGCCAAGTTGAAAGCTGGACTTGAGGCGGGCGTGAAAGGCCGGGCTGTCCGCTTCTCGTTAAAGTCAACGGAGAGCTCCCAAAAGCCCGGTTAAACCCACTCGGAGACTTACAGCCATGGTAAGTGGGTTGTAGCCACGGTTCTTACCCACAAAGTGCAATGCACCTTAAGAAACAGTATGCCTGTTTTCGGTTGCTGCCCCCGGCATTTTTTTGCGTGTTGGGGACCAAACGTACGGCCTGTGTCCACGGTATGTGTTGTGGTCTTGCAAGGCCTAAATATCATCATCTCGGCAGAACCAAAACGTCGATGGGTTCAGTTTCCACCTTTAGATCAAACGGGGTTAATATAACCACCATTACAAATATTTAAAGAATTTCATCGTTGAACCGTCGCAAGTGTGCGCGCATCAAAATATATAGGGTGAATCGCCAGAATTCTAGGTGTCCTTTGCAGGTTGGTTGACCATTTTTGGATTGTGCTGGGCATCTACCAGGGCCATCATTTCTAAGACATTGAAACCGCCTTTCTCGCGCTTCTGCGGTTCAGCTTTTTTCTGCACGCGAAGCATCGCCAACGACTTCTAGTGCCCTTCAACCCTTAGGCATCCTGGCAATGGGTCAAAATTCGGCCAGACGCAGGTTTGAGTTTCCATGTTTCCACAAAACGGCCGGCCGTTTTGGGGTTCCCAACTATTTTTGACCGCAGCCATTAAGACATCTGGAACCACCATTGGGGTGCAACTCGCGGCTTTGGGGATCCGATGTTTTGCCCTTGGAGTTGCTTGTTTCGCCCCGCCTCCCAAGGCTTCCTTCGGCCGGTTTTTGGTTCCCCGAAGCGAAAAGCCGAGGTACAAAAATGGCGTCGAACGTTGGCCCAAGACGGTGTCCGTTTTTGACCATGAACAACAACGCTGTGACTTGCGCAAGTTGGCTTTTTGTCTCCCTCCAACTGTGTCGATTAAAGCGACAGGCATTCCCCGAGCTAGTGGTGGTTGAGAGGGACACCGGGCCCCAAAAATAAACTTGAGTCCTCAACCCGACCATAGGGGCCAAACGGTGTTTTGTCAACTCCATGCCCCAAATCTCCCGGACGGCCCTTCCCCCCTCCCCCACCGGCGCCACCGGCGCCTTGGGCGCCTTGCGCAGCCGACGTGGTGGACGAGGACGGTGTCAGCGCGCTGATGATGGCGGCCATGACCGGCAGCGCCGAGGCGTGCGAGGCGCGGATCGGAGCGAACTTCGGCGAACACGCTGACCCACCAAAGGCTGACTTTGATGGGGAAATGATGGGGCCAGTGGTTGGTGGTTTGGCAAAACCCAAATCTCGGGGAGTAAACCGGGCAACCGGGAAAACACATGGGGATGGTCTTTTTTTGTTCTGCCTCTGCGAAGACAAAAGGAACACATGTTTGGGTGAGTTTTGTCTGGGTCCCTAGGATGCAGTCAGGCCACTCGACTGTTCACCCAAATACCAGCTGATTTAGAGGATCCAAATCCTTGCAACGCACGTGTTTTTCGGAAGTGTCCTTGCCCTGTTTTTTTGGGTCTTCCTGTTGTGGAGACACCAGATGTCCCCAACGCCCTTTGACAAACCTTCTCTCCCAATCAGAAAAGGGCACTCTCATCTAAGGCTTTTTGTATTACACCCTGGCAGTTCACCCTTTGAAAATGGCCCAACATGGTTCAAAATAACACGGTTTTTTCTGGACATCGGGTCGGCTGTAATCTCGTGTACAAGAACCCTCTCAGAGACTCACGGACCCTGGCGGTCTACGTTCGGGGCGTTTCTCCTCTTCTGCAACGGCGGATCCAGTTTTTTCGGGTTGGGCGGGGTGAGGCTGAGCGCAAGAAGATGCTGCCAAACCGTGGGCCCGGCCTCTGCTCGAAACTGGGGCAACGCCTGGGATCGTCTTACCTCGATTGACTACAGTATCCTGATGAAGGACGTATTTGAATCCGGGGTGTTAAATTGATGGTTGGCCTGGAGGATGGTCAGGGAATGGGCCAGCTTGGATCCGGGTGTCGTGTCCGTGCGCCAGATGGACTGCTTGGAAGCTTCACAGGTGGACGCCACTGACTGCACCATTTTTTTTTCCGGATGGTGGTATCCTTCGGACGTATTTGACCAGAAAAGCGGGCAACCCCGCAACCGCCCCCCCCAGAGCCCTTTTCTGACTCAGCTCTTGCCCCCATTGGCGATACGAGTCGGAGCAGTGGTGGCCGAAAGCAACCCACGAGTTGGAAGGAGATCGACGGCTCTGTCTCTTCGGGTGGAGCTCGCAGAATCCCGGTGATTGCCCTGCTGGCATATATATCAATCTCACCTTTGTTTGGTACAAAGGTGCAGGACAAAGTTGCGCGCCCCTTCTTGTTTGGAAATCTCAGTTTGCGCTGCATCTGTGTCGTTGTCCAATGCCTGCGACGGGCTTGGTGCCACAGGACGGCTTGAGCAGTGCCGGTGGTACGAACGCCTGTTGAACGGGTTCCAACAAAAATGTCGGGTTGTCTTTCTTTGAGGGTTCCGTTTTTTGTTTGGGTTTGAAAGGGAGACTAAAAGGAACACCACCATTTCGGAGGGTCCAACCTTAAAAGACGCATCCACGCGTTGCGATAAACGCGCACGTCCTCTGCCCCCCGGAAAGCGGGCCTCGGAATCCGAATCCCACCCCGGGAATGCCTCGGCGCAGGTGCTGCTGAAAGGCGGCGCGGGCGTGAATTGGGCCGAGCGGAATGCTGGCAGGTGGGGGGCGATCAAAAGCGGCGCTTCGATGGATCGGAGTCGGGGAGAAGTTGAGGGTTGTGGTGGATCACTCGGCTTATCCCAAGCACTTCTGTAATGCAAGGATGAAGGAATCTCTCCCTTATGGGGGGCTAGTCTCTGGGTAGCCCTTTCTGTTCTATCACAGAAGTGGATTCCATTTCCCGCAGCCCTGAACTTGCGGCTTGTTCTCACGTCTCACTTGGCTCGCTGGTGGGATAGGCGAATGACGAGACCGGGTGAGAATGAACCGGTTTTGGGGGATCTGAAAGGAAACCACCAGTTGGATGGGTTTTACAGGGGTTCCAACTCATTTCCTGAGAAACAGCAAGCTATCGGTGACGCTAGTACTAGAAGCCACAGCCACAACCCAAACCCGAATAATAGAAGGTCAGCAAGGAACAGTCCGAATAATAGATAGAAGCTGATATTCGCCCCTTTGGCTTCTTTGCATGTTGTTGCGCACTCCCAAAGGAGGTCCTTTTCAGTTCTGAGGCAAATGGGAATGGGAGCCCCATCAACAACTTTCTTGAGGGCTCGAAACCAATATGACAAATTGCCAAATTGCCATAGTGGGCCACAAAGGTTGTTCGGTTGCCCTGTTGTGTGACTGACATAGCCATTTAACCCTTTTGAACATGACAATCCCCCTTCATTCCAATGAGTCTTTTGTTGTTAAGGGGTCAACTCAAAGTATTTGTCTGGAATGAGGGGCTTTCCCAACTTTAGGATATTGATTTGTAGCACTTTGTGACGGAATCAGGATGTAAATCCCACTTTCGTATCCAGCAAACCCGGCTCATTCAACCACCACCCGGACTCGGTGACTCCCCGTCCCACCAATCCTCAAAACCTCACTCCCTGAGTTCATGGACTTTAGTACCACTTTTTGGGGGTATGATCTAGGTCCCCCAGCACCGCCCTTTTGCCCTTTTTGGGGGGAGGGTTCCCCTACCAAAATAGACTACAGAAAAAAAAGAAAATACATCGGGTACCAACTTATTCTAACCTCTCAAATCTGGAGGACCTAGTGACCATTTTGGTCAACCAATCGGTGACGTCTTCTGGGCCGTCCGCTGCGTCCAGAGGACGGCGCTGATGTTCGCCTCGCAGGGCGGCCACCTTGACGCGGCCGGCCGAAGGGAAGTGGATGGAAGTCCACGGAGGGTTTTTTGGCAACAGGCCAAAAGGGGGAGAAAAAACAACCGTTCCTGGTTAAAATGTGTGTGTGTGTGTGTGTGTGTGTGTTTTTTTTTGCGTTTTTTTTTGGGGGTGGTTCAAAGTGAAAAGAGAGCAGAAAGGACCTTTTTGGTTTTCTAATGGGTGCTCCTACCTTCTTTTGCCCCAAAGTCGCCCGGTTTGAAAAGCTAGCCTGCTCGGTTCAAGTTGCCAGAATTGCCAGACCCTTTTGCAAGACACTCCAAGCGACAATGTAACAGCTTCTGTATAGGACTTATCCTGCCCAATGACTGGGTTACCTTAAAATGTTTGCATGTGTCCAGTACCCTTTGTTGGATACACCTAACCGTGACACTCCAAGCCACAATATTGCATGACACTCTTGCAACACGCATCTCGAGCAACATCTCGTGCAACATCTCGTGCGAAACTAAACACCGGGACCAACCAGCTTACGGAACACATGCCCACGCAAAGAAAACACATGTGCACTCAACTCAAACAAAAAAGCCCATTTCCACGCACCTCTTGATCGTCTTGATGAATTTCTGTTCTTTGCGGCGCCTAACTCCCTACAAGCCAGCCAAAGAAAACCTGACACCGCCCCCTGCTTTGTTCTCTCCACAAGCAGCACAAAAAATCCCATTTGAAGGTTTGGGTCGATCCTATCATGAGGGGCTGTTTGAGACCATGTTGGTAGGCAATGGCAATGCATCAATGGTTTGTTCCTCAGGATTCGGCCGCACCACCACAGTTGCGTCCGTTCGAATCCCCCAAGGTACCGCGGTCGAAACGGAGCCACAGGTGAAGACGCTCCTGGCGGCCAAAGCGGACACTTCCAAGGCGCCAAGTCTTTCGACGCGCGCGCGCGGCTGGGCCCCGGTGTTTTTTTGTTTTGGTTGGAGTGAGTTAACTTGGTGGTTCCCGGCCATGCGGTTCCTTAGCTTTTTGGCTTTTTGGCGTTTAGCGGGGATTATTTCCATTTCGGCCACTAAGAGTGAAGCTTTTAGCAGGGGGTCTGAGGACAGAGTCAAGTTGACGTCTGGCTTTGCAGCTTTCAGGTGGACTCTGAGGGCCAGACCTCGCTGCATTGGGCCGCCGGGGGCTCATCACCCCCCACAGGGCAGTTGAGCAGGTTCATCTGCCTGGTTTCATGGGGATAGGTTTCATGGGGATAACAGCAAGCTTCTAGACATATGAAAAAAAACACATGTTGGTAGAACCCAGCGTCAATGGGTTTCGGGCGCTGCTCAAATGGGATATGGCGTTCGGTTCACCCCGACCCAGCAAAGTGGGGTCGCTTCTTGGGATTAGCTTGGTGGCAAGCAACAACCGCGCGCTCCACTCAGACACCCCCCCCCCGACACCCCCGACACCCCCCCACCTACTTTGCCAAATCTCAAGCCCCAACCCCTGACCCCCTGACCACCCCTCCTGACCCCCCTCTGAACCCCCCCCCTGACTCCCTCCCCCCTGACCCTTGCCCCCGGTGCCGCCTGACCCTTGCCCCCTGACCCTTGCCCCCTGACCCTTGCCCCCTGACCCTTGCCCCCTGACCCTCCCGCCCCCCCCCCCCCCGTGTTGTTTTCTTGTCTTCTTCTTTTTCTTGTTCGACTAAAACCCAAAACGCGACGCCCCAAGCGCCGCCGCGCGGTTTCAGCGTCGCCCGAGCCCCGAGGCGGTGGGCGGTCGCCTAGAGGTGGCAAAGCTTTTGGCCAGCATCGGCCAGAAGGGCGCCAAGAACAAGGAGGCACATCAGCGCTTTTTTTTGGGTTGTTGCGCGATTCTTTCCTTTGTCTCTTTTGTTTCTTGTTTCTTTTCTTCTTTTTTGTTTCTTTTTTGTTTAAAGCAAATAAACAGGTGTTTGATGTGTGTTGGCGATTGCCGTGTTTTTTTTTGGGCGGGCTAGAAGGAAGTTGAGGGATTTGCCTGTTTTTTTTTGCCTGCGAACGGTGATTCATCTGGACCAATGAGAATGAGCTTTCCGAGTCTGGGGATTAAAACGAGCGGTGGCCATTTGCCCAGATCCATGTGAGCATGTCTGATAATGGGCAAGCCTCAAACGGGTGGCTTCGGTTTCCCTCTAAACCCACCCCAAAAAGGGCACGCTCAGAACACATCGATGTGGGCTCCTTATCTGGGGGGTCCTGCCCCGAGACTGGGCTGTCCCCTCTTTGTTTGGTTCCGGTGCGTCCCTAGTGGTTGCATTCTGAGGGTTTGTTTGGTTCCGCTGCGTCCCTAGTCTAGTTGCATTTTGATCTAGTGGTTGCATTTGTTTGATGGTTTCTCACAATGAGGGCAGCTCCCCTTCCTTTGGACGGTCATTTCGAGGATGTCACTTGGGGCCCAGAGTTTTTTTTTTTTTTTTTTGTGGGATCCTAATGCGTGCCGGTCATCGACCCCTTGGGTTTGAGACATATAGACCGGAATTCTCACAAATCTTCTTGGTCCTGGCGGTGACGTCAGTTGTGCGGATCTCCTTTTTCAGCTCGGCACGTTGGAGAGATCCCAGCTTGCAATGCATGTTTTCGCCGGAGAATTTCAGAGACGAGGGTCTCTGTTTGAGTCGCATCTTTGGAAGGTTTAGGTGTCAAAACCCAACGTGGGGCCTATTGGAGACAACACGCCTGTTGGGTCTAGAGAACTCGTGGGCAGGAAATGTGAGTTTTTCTCGCTAAAAAGGACAATCCCAAGAATAGGCGCGGCAATTCTTTTGGGAGGGCCATTTTTTTAGGAATTGTTTTCGTTTTTTTAAAGGTTTTTTTTTGTTTTCAGGCTCGGTGGCTTTTGTGGCTTTTACGTGGTTTTTTGTGGCTTTTGTGGCTTTTCATTTCGCATCATCTGCATTCACAGATCCTCTCTTTTCGCATCCTCTGCATTGCCAGTTCCGCTGCGGCAGGTGGCTTTTTGGCTTTTTGGCTTTTTGGCTTTTTGGCTTTTTTGCTTTTTGGCTTTTTGGCTTTTTGGCTTTTTGGCGTTTTGGCTTTTTGGCTTTTTGGCTTTCTGGCTTTGGCTTTTCGCATCCTGATGCCTTCCCACTTTGTTTTTGGCCTTGGCCTCCTGCATCCTCAGCATCGCAAGTTCCTCTCTGGTGCCCCCCGCCACCCCCCTTTTTTTTTCGATCATCATGGGGGGGGGGGCTGCCGTTTTACAGGGATTAGTTTGCCCGTATTTGAATCCTCACTTTTACCATGAGGCCTTGCCGCAGAGGCACTGATGCCCCCGCCGCTGCTTTATTAAAAACATATTTTTTGGCCCATTGAAACATCACTTTTTCAATCATCCCTGATTGTCATCACTTTTTCGATCATCATGGGGGGGGCTGCCGCCCCCCCCAACCCCCCCGCGATGTTTTGGACTTTTTGCCCCTAATTGAATCATCACTTTTTTCGATCATCATGCGACCGCTACTTTTTAGATTCTTTGCCCCTAATGTTTCGATCATCATGGGGGGGGGCACCCCCAACCCCCCCGCAATTTTTTAGACTTTTTGCCCCTGATTGAAAATCACTTTTTCGATCTACAGGGATTAGTTTGCCCGTATTTGAATCCTCACTTGTACCATGAGGCCTTGCCGCAGTGGAACTGATGACCCCCCCGCTGCGTTTTTTATATTTTTTTGGCCCTAACTACGTTTTAGGTGTTTCACAGGGATTAGTTTGCCCGTATTTGAATCCTCACTTGTACCATGAGGCCTTGCCGCAGAGGAACTGATGACCCCCCACTTTTTGTTTTCTTCTTTTTTTTTTAAATAATGTATTTGTTTTGGCCCTTTTTGAATCATCACTTCTTCAATCATCATGGGGGGGCTGCCGTCGTCACCTTTTCAATCATCATGGGGGGGGGCGGCCGCCACGTATGCTGGGGATGTTGGCTGGATATGCGGGGGATGTTGAAAACGATGCTGACGATGCTGACGGACTAGCGTAAAATACGTACATTTCGCGAGAAAATGCTGTGAATTATAACAACAACAATTCCCAAAATAAAACAAAAAAAATCCCAAATTAAATCTCGACCCATTCTTTTGGGTCCCCCTTCAGTACCAGGTTTCGATTGTGAGCATGTGCGTTTGATACCTGCATCTCTCGCTGTCTCGCCACAACGTTTCCTTTTATTTCGGGGTGTCTCTTTCTGGAGGGCCCTTTGACCGTGTCTTAACCAAGAAGCCCCTACTTTAGGCATGGCATCATGCGACGATGCCATGCCCGTGTCACGCAAACGCTCCTAGATCTGAGCTGGCGGCCTTTCTCCGCTAGCTTGCTCTTTTTGACCAGCAAACCAGGCTTTTGGAATATTCATGCCTGGGTAAGGCCACGATTCACCTTCTAACCTTACAACGGTTTTCCAACCAAAACAAAGACTTGCCGAAACCTTTGAACCTTACGACGGTTTCAGCAAAAACACCTTGCCGGCTGATTCTTTGTCTAATCCCTCAGGCAATCCCTGGTTTCTTGGTGGCTCCCAGCCATCCGGTTCCTCAGCTTTTCAGCCTTTCGGTGTTTAGTGGTAGCTTCCATTTAACCCACTAAAAGTTCGTCACTTTTAGCGGGATCAGACAACGGGTTCCAAGATCTTCGCACCAAGATATAACAAATGCAGGTTTGTTGTAAGTATATTTTAATCTACTTGCTATAATTCCTATTACCCCAACGCTCCAATCTGTGCTGCCAACCATTATATGGCTATTTTTTTTATTGAAGAATTGTCTATCGTAAAACATATCATATTTTAGTATTTTTTCTTCTATATCTTGTCTTTCTTTATTATAGTTTTCCAATTTAAGTGCAACAACTATTGCTTCTTGTTCTGACGTTGTGGGTTTTATGGGACATTCGCAGTCTCCCATTCTGCTTGCAGCATTAATTCTAGGTCCCAGCCCAGGTTTCACTGTGACCATTTTGGCCCATTGGCCAGGGCCAGACTCCCGCCGACGTGGCGGAGCCACATGGCCGAAGATTCAGCCGGGTGCCGTCCCAACCCGCCGGAAGAAGCGGAGGGGCTGTGACGAATTGAATGACTCGGTATGCAAATGGGGAGCCGGAGCCGGAGCCGAAAGCAGGGGGCTTCAAAGGACCAGTCTTGCACTGCTTGCCTTCATGTTCCCGTTGAACCGGCAGAAGGTGAAAGCTGATTTTGGGGCGTCTAAGTCGAGCCAGGAAAAGTACACCGTCAAACTCCCCCCCAAAATGGGTTCTGCCCCCAAATTAGGGGGTGAACTCCCTTTTTCCGGGAAACTTTGAGGGCCCAAGAGCCCTCTTTTCAACAACACGAACACCGGGGGATTCGAAGGCTGAAGCAAACGCCGGCTGGGAAGACCTGCCTTCTTCGGGATCGCTTCCACCAGCCCCCAAGAAGCCCCAAAACATCAGCCCGAAAACATCCCCAAACGCCCCAAATCCTACAGCCTTGCAGTCTTGCCTCAGCTACTGGTTCCAACTCCTCTTGGGGGGTTTGCATGAATTTGAAAGTCCGGTTGCGGGTCCCAAAGCCGTTTTTTTGCCTCTTTCAGTGGGGGCTTCGAAGCAATATTTGGAGGGGATACTGAATCATCATTGGAATATGGGGGGGTGTGATTCTTTGGGGACCCGCAAAATGACTTCGGTTTTCCTCTCGGTTTTCGTTTAGAGCCATCCCAACTCCAAAAAGGGTACTTCCATATGAAGATGAAATCGGGAGTCCTGGTGGGAAGGGAGGGTCCCTTTTTTCCACAGAAAGACGCACCCTTACAGGCCTGTACAACTGGTAGAGTCAAAACGTTGGCTTTCGGTCCCCCCTGCTCATTTGAATCGGGCAGTAGGCACACGTCATAGCCAATGTTCTTATTTTGGACACAGATGCCATGGGGTTTGGTTCGTGAGCTGTGGGAGGGTTTTGGTTCACGATTGTATCCTCTGATTGTGAGTCGGCAGCTATCACGGACCCCCATGTTTTGAGGCAGAACGCACTCATTTCCAAGAGGGGCTTTATGTGAAGTCTACACAAACAGCGGTTTGGGTTCCTCTGGTAATGCGTGTTCAGCCATGTTCCTTGCAGCTAATGTTGATTTGATCTGACACAAGACCGCATACATAGGTGTCCCTTTTGGTTGGTTTGGTTGAAAAATAGAGGGCCCTGGTTTACCTGGTGGTTCAATCATCTACCAGGGTCAACCTATTAACCAGGCTCCCGCCTGCTGCCGCCGACCCTCGGCGCATTAAGGGAAAAGTCACAAGGACCGGTCCTGAAACACGTCCGCAAACCCAGGGACCACTTATAAGATCCTCTACGACCACAAACAAGGATTAACGGAAAAGTCAGAAATAGGGCAGCTAGTCCGTTAATTACCGCTTGGGCCGGCTTGCGCCCAAGTCACTTCGAGTTGGCCCGGGAGCAGTCGCCTCTCCCGGGGTCGCCCTGAAACTGGCCCTCCCGAAGTTGACCACAAACAAGGATTAACGGAAAAGTCAGAAATAGGGCAGCTAGTCCGTTAATTACCGCTTGGGCCGGCTTGCGCCCAAGTCACTTCGAGTTGGCCGGGAGCAGTCGCCTCTCCCGGGGTCGCCCTGAAACTGGCCCTCCGGCAGGGACCGGGATTTGGGACCCTGTCCAGGCTGGTCCCAGTCTGGCGCGGTTTGACTTGACGTATTGGACTCTCTTGCAGAATAGATCCAGGGATCCTCTACTACCACAAGGACGTCAATAACCGCACGGGCCGGTTTGGTCGCAGGGAGTGACGACCTGGGACCCTGTCCAGTGTCCTGGGTGCCAGTCCGGAAACGTGTCTGGAGCGGTTTGAGGTGGCAGCACAGCAGTTTGAATTGGGACCCAATACCAGCGGTCACACCAGGACTTGATCCCGGCTTCCCAGACCGGTCCCGGTCCCAGGACCAGTCCCAGGACCGGTCCTGGGACCAGTCCCAGGACCAAACCGCTCCTGGGACTGGTCCTGGGGACCCCAGGACCGGTCCCAGGACTGGTCCGACACCAGTCCCAGGACCAAACCCCGGTCCTGGGACTGGTCCTGGGACCAGTCCACTGGTCCCAGGACTGGTCCCAGGACTGGTCCCAGGACCGGTCCCGGGACCGGTCCTGGGAATCCACTTTTTGTGGGTTCGGGTGTGTCCTCCAGGGGCTATCATTGATTCCAATCACTTCCAGTTGCATCCCACGCCGGTCCCCTCTGCAGGAGGCTGGGACGGGAGGCAGAGGGTCGGCGGATTTACGAAAAAAGAGGACACCTATGACCGCATATACCTGCCAGGATCGGGGAGAAATTGCGACTCCCCCCTTCTCCCCTGAAAGTTTCTCAGAAACCCGTTGCTCAGAACTCGTGCATTGGGCGGGGGGGGGGGTGTTTGTTTCCTCAACAACGGTCACACGATGACACCCAGTCGCTCCTCATTTGAGATGGCAGGGTTCAACTGTCCGCATAAAGTCTGAAGGGTGCGTGTTCCACTCATGATCTGCAGGTTGCTTGCTGAGGGAAGAAATCGGGGGATATTTGAGCACTTCTCTCTCTCTCTCTCTCTCTCTCTCTCTCTCTCTCTCTCTCTCTCTCTCTCTCTCTCTCTCTCTCTCTCTCTCTCTCTCTCTCTCTCTCTCTCTCTCTCTCTCTCTCTCTCTCTCTCATATGTGTATGTATGTGTGTGTGTGTGTGGGTGCGTGTGTCAAGGCCACTTGGATCTCTTTTTTTTGTGTGGGCGGGGGGGGGGGGGCGTTGCTCAATTTTTTAGGAATGTGTCAAGACACGCTGGACCCCTACAAGCTATTAGCTCATGGTTTCACTTGAACACCGCCCTCAGGGTCCTAAGATGTTCGTTTCCGTCGCCATTTTACGCGAACTGGAAAAGAGGACCTTCCGGCCGGTGGGTTTCATGCCGGGTGCAATTCACTTTGAGTTTTGGCCCGCTGGAATCAGACATCCCCCCAAGAAAAACCAAAGGTTCGAGCAACAGGGGATTCGAATTGCCACGAGCCCACAAGGAATCATGCAAAGCCGGTGAGGGCGGTGCTCACTTCGCGAAGCTTTTCTCGCTCCGCAAAAAAAGAACGTAGCCGAGGAAGATGAAGCACGAAGAGACGGCGGCGGCACTCAAGTAGGTCGAGCCGGTCAATCCGCTCAGGATGAGGGGTCCTCATTTGGGTATAGGTCAAAATAAAGCCACCAGGGGACCGCAGGTTTTGGTTTTTGTTTCCATTTACCCAGGGTTCCATGTTGGGTGCCTATTTTTGACCCACTCCGATTTGGGGTGTCACGGGTATCCACAGAAGCGGGAGTTGGACCACGATGATTGATGTCGGTGGCCTTTCAAAAAGCACTCCCGTAGTTCCATGGTCGATTGTGGGGGCTCCATTTTCCCGTGGGTGGTCCATTCAATTTACAACCTTCAGGGTTACCTTGTCATGCCAGGAACGGGGTATCCCCGCCCCTTAAGAATGGAATCAGGAGATGACACCAGGAATTCCAGTTCTTTGGTAGTTCCATTCTCCCTCAAAATGGAGCTGTGGAGCCAGAAACTGACGCTTGGGTGGGAAGCACCACAGCCGGATGAGAATAGCTCTCCGTTGGAGATCTTCGATATGCATCGGGCAACTCCCACTGGTCAACCCTGGGATCATGGCATGAGACATGCAATCTTACAACGCAGCAGCCGTTTGGTGCTTTTCGGAGGGGTGTGATGGAACTCTCTCGCTGCGAATCGCGCGAATTTGTTTCACATTTGCTCTTTTTCCACACCAAGCAAGCGCTTCCGAGCGGAAAAAAAGGAACCCGTATGCTTGAACATGTCATGTTTCGCGGCGCACCTTGGCTTCGGATCCTCATGACTCGTTGGGGTTTCGTATCCTGGGAGGCCAAGAACAACTTGGGCTCGGAGGTCCCAGCCGGTGGCTCAGCCTTTCCACCTCTCGGCATCTTTCGGCCAGGCCGCGGAGTGCTCAAGTTCCAAGACGCGCCCCGGTTTCCAAGCGCGAGAAGCTTTGGGGTTTCGGGCGGTAGCCACAGAGACCGCCGACCCCAGATCGAGCGCTGGGGTCGTTTCACTGGTAGAGGCCGGTCCTGCGAGCAGCCCGTGGAACGCACTGTTGGGAGACTTAGGCAAAGGGCTGGATTCCCATGGGGCCCAGGCCCTCCCCGGAAAAAAAAGGGGGGAAAACAACCAGGCCCAGAATCGCACGGCAATGCAAAGAGATTTTAGGGGGATCTCCTTTTGGGGGTACGTACCCCGTTTTTGGCAAGCCCTCGCGGGTTTGTACCGATTCCGATACCAAGGGACTTTCCAGGAGCCATGTGACTTGTGAGCGGGACCTCCAGGAGGGGCTCCATGGTCTGCCCTTTCTGTACCCCTTACGACTTTCTTGCCCTCTGCCAATACCGCTCAGGGGACACCACCCAAAAGTCATGTTGGCGACCCCTCAAAATGTCCACTTACGCTTGCGGTATGCCGAACTGTGGGGATGGTTGTTGGATCATTGTGCTGTGGCCCTGGATGGCAATGAGTTGCCAGAAAACAGCAAGCCTTTGAGGCAGGTAAGGGCACGCCTGTGTCTATTTCAGGCATGCTGGCAATGCTTTCTGTATGAAGACATGTTGACAGCCAAATCTGCGAGTGCTTGCTTGCAGGCTCACGTTTTGAAGTGACGTGCCTCTCGGTCCACTCTGCAAGTGTTGCGAATGCCGGCACCGTGGCAAGAGGGACGCAGGAGTCCTTGCTGACTTAAAAGAACAACATTTCACGGAGGACATCCCCCGACGTTTTCTTGAGCTAATGCAAAGATCCTGTGGCTGCAACAAATGTTGCAGAGCTTTTCAAGGCTAGGGCCTAATTCTTCAGCAATGTCCGCGAGAAAATTTTCGGCGCTGCGTGAGCGCAGGTTGGCAACGGACATTATTTTTGTATGCGTGAAGGGGATGCAAACAGCCGGAAGGCCCTGGCCGGCTCATGTTTTCCTCACTTCTGTTCACTTTCTGGGCTGTTCCAAGGCAAAATGGGCAAGAGCCTTACCGTGAGTTGCGCAAGGATTTGGCCCCCTTTGGCTTTCCACTGCATATATTCGATGGATTCGGAGAACAGTAAGGCGTGTTTTTTCTTTCGATTCACCTCTGGCTTCCCTTTTCGTAAGCACATCCGCATCACTTTGGCTCATTCCTCGCCCGTGGCTCCCAGAAGGGAGGGTGAAGACTGGTATGCTGCAAATGGCGCATGGATGGCAGCATCTTTGTTCCCATGGGCGTTTCGATCATTCGTTTTGCAATATGAGTTCCATTTTCAGGCTGGAACTCACCAATCTCCATCTCCTGACTCCCTCCCATGGCGAGCCACTCGTGGTTGGTTGACCCCGACATCTGGTGCAAATGGGATTGTCCGATCATTTCAAGCAGAGGTTTCAAAGGTGCCTCTCCCAAAGCCTACGAGATCCTCCGAAACGACGGATCCTCTGCCATGGAACGTGCTGATTATGACTACAGCAACAGCGAGGTGACTGCGCTTCTGTGACAGACTTTGCATTTCGGGGTGTGCCTTTTTTGACGCAGCCCTTGTTCACGTGTTGAAGGGAAAGTAGAGGCACCCCGCCGCCTGCCTATTTGGGGGTGGCGCCGGTTTTGACCGCTTTTGCTGCGCTGTTGCTTCAACTGTCGACAAACTCGCATGATTTTTTGTCAACATTTCAGGACGAGGGGGACTTGCTCAATTGTTCCAGGTCTTGAGGAACCGTTCGTAATTTTGCGCGTGGCGCAGAAGCTTTTCCTGGCGTGTTGCTTAAGAGTCCTGGATTAGTTCCAAACATTGGCTTGGGGGGATCGATGGATCTAGACCCAAGCATGGAAGGAAAGCCAAGCCCAAGCCGGCCTTTCTCTTTTTTGTATATAGTTACAATCTGTCCAACGCTGAAGTTGGAGAGTAAAGGACCTACATGAGTGGCTTGGCTTCAGGCTCGTGATTTCGGCTTGCTCGTGAGCTCGCTGGAATCGCTCGTAGGACCAGCTCACGGTGGGCATCCAAATCATCCAGCGCGCTTTCCAGCGGAAGGCGCGGCCGAGATGTGGAATCCCCGCATGTCAGGATGTGTTGGTTCTTGGGGAGAGCATCGATTTTGAGAGACGCACATCTGTGCCATGGTCAAAGACCTTTGGGGTTGCTGGGATGACCCTTCAAGAGGGTTTTAAGGGGAACTGTCCATGGCCGACACCAGTCAGAGCAGGGCTTTTGCGAGTGCGTAACTGCCGCGGTGGCCGCATCCTGGACCAAGAACGTCGCGGCCGAAATTCGCCCACATCGACTTGGCATATAGCCAAGCTCGCTGGGCATCTTTGAAATGGCGTATCTGCGCGGTCAGGTTCCAGTGACTTCGAACTTCGAATGCTTGCTTTCATCTGAGGCTTGGCCTACACTTCTTGATTTTGTCTCTGGTTCATGTAGGAGGGACATGGGGTTGCGGGGAGGAGGACAAGGGAACATGTTTGACCGTGCATCTGGCTTTCCTCAAGGACGCAAGAGGAGCCTGTATGAGCCATGTCACCCAAGAGAACATTGAACCAAACTAACCAAGAAGCACAAACCACGGTCAATTATGATAACTCCGATAACTTCGAGTGTGTCTGTGCTGACTTCGAGTGTGTCTTTCAATATTTCGAGCATGCGTAGAGCCCAACTTAGGCACTCCCGATTTGATACGTCCAGGTGAACAGCCTGGAGCAAGAGATCAAAAAGATGGAGCCAGGAAGCTCAGAACGCCGACTGCTTTCGGGCTTTCTCCATGTTTGAAAGCCCGAGAAGAATCTCCACCTGAATGGGATGTTCACAAGAGGGTCCCCAGTCAAAATATACACTCTCCTGGCATGGCATCTGAACACCGGCCTTCCTCGATGGCTCCTAGCCGTTCTTTTGGGATGCGTCAGCCGACTCATTTTGTGCCGCCGGGGCAGGCGGTGGAAGGGTCTGTTGAGCCAACCCCACCCGGCCCACCCATTTCGCGACCGCCCGACAACCCTGCACCCACTGCAAGGGAGGTGTTCTGTTTTTTGAGGCAACATCTTTAGGTGGGCTTTGAGGGGAAACCAAACAGCACCAGCCATTTTTTGGGGGCTTCCTAGTGAAGACTGATGCCTCCATGTGTCTGTCTGAGGCTTACTTGCGAGGACGGGGCGATGCAACCCTTGCATGAATGCATCTTTGCCCTTTGCGAGCATGATGGGGAAGAAGGTGGACAGCCTAGAAAGGTTGAACCTTGAGCAAGGTAAGGTTGAGATCCTAGCTTGGAGGTTTTTCACATCGAGCAGGGAAAGGGTTGTTTCAACAGACTCCTTTGGGTTTCAGGTGGTTTCCTTCAAAGTCAGCCCCGAAGTGGTAGGTTAAAGGGAAACACTTCCATGTTCTGACTTTGATAACCCCCAGAAACAGTCAAAATCATGGCCCTAGCTTTCAAGCGAACCTTGCGCCCATCCCAAGCTTTTGTTCCTTGCGGACGTAAATCGCCGCCACAGGAGCACCGGGCCAACGTGTCGAACCTCGACCGCAAGAATTCGAACCTGCAGGCACATGGATCACGTTTCGGCGTCCAGCCTCCAAAACGAGAAGATAGGTGTCTCAAAATATAGGGGGAAACCTTCAAATATGCCTGTGTGGCTTCCCCTTGGCTTCCCTTTAAACCAACCCCCCAAAAGGGTCAAACACACATCCATATGTTTTTGCATTTTCGGGTTTCCTTTATACACAAGTTTATCCTTTGCAGGGTTTCTAAGTCTACGCAGGTGCATTCATTGGAACGGGCTTCAGTCGTTGCTTTCACCCGGCTGGAACCTTTAGATCGGATCGGGTCAATGCATTAGCGTTGTTGTCCCTTGGGCATTTGGTTGTGTTGATTGCCGAAGTGCGATCATTTGGACACACCACCATGATGTCCTCATTCTCCCGGCACATTGCCTCCATGCTGCTTCGTGGTGCCTTGATTCTGTCCTCCTCGCGCCTTTATTATGTTTTAATTGTAAACGCCTTGTGTTGCCCGCAGTCCTTCCGCAAACAATCCAATCCTGATCCAATTCGTCAGATGGTTTTGAAGGAGTATTGTCCGCTCCTACCATAGCATTGGCAAGCTACCTTTGGTTTGGGGAGGACAAAGATGTGGACAACCCAATTTCCGAAAACACCCAGACAACCCACATTTCCCACGTCGTCTGGCTTCGAAGTACTTCACGAAAGCTGGCTATGCCAGCGGGAGTTCCCGAAGCTTGAGCTTCTTTTCTTGAAGAGGGCTGAGCTTCCCACGAGGCCCGATTTAATCAGGCATGGGGGGGGGGGGGCACGCACGCCTCCAAAACATAAGGAAAGCCGTGTACACAAATATGGTTGGGTTGCCCTTCTCCGTGTACCCCAAATTTCTGTCCTGTCCTCAGCTTTCCTTGGTTTACCAAACGATCGTTGCAGGAATCGCTTCGGCTCGATGAGGTCTCCGGTATGCATGTTTGAAGTTTGGAGCCAAGTGAAGCGACTAAAATGAAACACCCGTTATGGATGGCGAAGTTTAGTAACTAAATATGAAGCATCTGAAGTATAAGTTGAACATATGTGTTTTGTGCTTTCTTTCGGGACCAAAATCATGGTATTCCATTTGGCTTCCCTTTAAAATCACCAAAAAAAAGGTGCCAACTCTAAGAAAAGACGCGCCACCCATATCTGTGCTTTCTTCTTGTTTGGACTTGAACATTTGTTTGTCTGAAACAAGGCCCCCCCCATTCTGGGTGGCTTTCCCTTTAGTTAATCTTGAACATCCCAAGCCAACAGGGGTTCTTTTCTCATCAGACACGCCTTGTTGCGTTTTCTTCTTGGGTTGCTTGAGCCATCGAGCCGCTTTCCGTGGCTCTGCCAGGTGGAGTTGGTGGAAACCAAGGAGCGCTGGGAGCAGCTCCAAGATGAGGAGAAGGACGCCGACGAGTTGGTTTTCGTGGGCGAACCGGGGACCGGGGCGACCGGGGCGACCTGTGGCTCTTTTGGTTTGCCAGGCTCCTCCCCTTTTTTGTGGTCTTTAGAGGGAAGCCACAAGCAACATCCGCCAGCTGTATTTGGTCACGATTATAGCGGCTGGTAAACTATTATTGGGGTGGGGGGGTTAGGTGCGTTGCGAGGGGTAGGGAGTGAACCCCTCGCAGGCTCCTTCAATTTTCTTAGGGTTTCTTAAAACTAATCCCCCCCCTTGGACCACCCCCCCCAGACTCAATTGTTACAGTTAAATAAATAAATAAATAAATAAATAAGTAAATAAATAAGTAAACAATTTTGACAGAGACTCCATCCCTTAATTCTATATTTGTTGTCTTTTGGTATCCCCATTTTTGTTTTTCCCCAACAGCTGAAAGCTTCGGGGTCTCAAAGTTCCGAGGTGGTCAGGGCAGTTTTGGTATTTGCTCTTAGTGTTTCCCTAACCTTTTCCTCACTATTCCCCGCAGTGTTGCCCTAGTACTCCGTCAATATTCCAGTACTTCCCTAGTATTCCCTTGATATTTCCGTAGTATTCCCCTATTCCTTCAGCATTATCTTACCGCTTTATTGCCCCAGTACTTCTTACTATTTTCTTAGTATCCCCCCAGTATTCCCCCAGTATTCCCCTAGTATTCCCCTACTAAGCCCTACTATCCCTGTCAGCTCTAAATAATTCATTTCTCGATGTGTTTTTGATTGTTGGTATTTTCTCTCAGTGTTCCTCTTTTACTTGTTTCCTCACTGTTCTTTGAGCATTTCCTGGCAATTCCCCAGTATTCTACTGTTGTTACCCTTAGTATTCCCCTGGTATTCCCTCGGGATCCTCTCGGGAATGTCAAGGGAAGAATGAGAATTCTGAGGGAATAGCAATGACATACTTCCCCTAGCAGTTCCCTACTAATTCTTTAGTATTCTCCAGTATTCTCCTAGTGCTCACCCTCAGTATTCCAATAGTATTCCCCTGTTATCCTTTCGGGAGTATTAAGGGAATAATAGGGGAGTTGTCAGGGAATAGTAGTGGCATGCTTTCCCCAGCATTTCCCTTGAAATTCCCTAGTATTTTCCTGGTGCTCCCCCTTAGTATTCCCCTATCACCCTTCCCCCCCCCCCGATTTCCACGGGGGCACCCGCTTTTTCTTTTCCTTTCAGCACTGGGCCCGACGTCATGGAGCGTTCCTCCAGCCAGGGAGAAATGTCCCCCCTCCAAACCCGGGAGTGGCGGAGGGACATCGATGTCCATCTCACTTTCTGAGGTCATGGACTTAGCACTTGATAGGGAAGACAGCCGGTTCCAAAAGAAAAGAGTTCTCGGGTCCCAGCAAACTTGGATGCTACACCAAAACTTGGTGGCCCCCAGTCCGGTTCCTGAGCGTTTTTGCCTTGTAGTGTTTCGTGGTAGCTTCCATTTAGCCCACTAAAAGTTAGTCTCTCTTAGCGGGGGATCTGAGGACGGTTCAGTTTAGCAAACCTAAAGTTTGGTCCCTTGTTTTGGCCACTCAAGTGAGCCATGGAAACCACCAGCAAGTTGCAACTGAAGGGGGCAATCCAGTGACCCCCGTAGTCTGCAGTGGGACAAGACAAGCACGGGAAAGGGACAAGGAAGGGTCACATGCCTCCTAATTCAAACTTCCGAACTTCAGGGAAGACTGTGAAGCCGACTTGAAAGAGTCCCACATGTTTGAAAACAACTCGGATTTCCCCAGGCATTTGGAAGAGAAGGCAAAGGGTTCCAACTGCCCGTTGGCCACCCGCCGGACTTTTCAAGGAGCTCTACAAGACTTTGGGCTCTCTCAAGAAGCAGATCCTGAGGCCTTCGCCCGGCCCTGCTGGCTGAACCCTTGGAGTTTGAGGCTTCTCAAAATACAAAAAAGAAAAACACGGTGGTGTCCCGAGGCACAATTTAGCTCGCGCCTCTTTTGTTTTGAGGTACCGAGATGAGCAATATGGCCATGGGTCAACCCCCCTTACCCCCAGTGAACATCCCAATCCCAACAAAAATAGGTTCTAAAGTGGGTGGTGCACCTATCCCAAAATGGTACCAAAACGGTTTTGAACCATGGTCATACAATAAACAACAAGCTTTGCGGCGATTTCTCTCCAACGCCTCCCCAAGCAGCCTGTGGGCCGTGGGCAAATCGGGGAAGTGAGTTGATTTGGCGCCGTGTTTTCCGAGAAAGCCCTTGGGAATTCATTTGGAAAATCACCTAGAAGCCCCAGTGAAGTGAAGGAAATCATCCTAAAAACGACCGAAAAATGGTCGGAGTGGCGAGTTTTCTGCAAGATATTTGTTGCTGGGTTTCTTCATGATGGAAGTCAGAACAGTCAGCGGGATGAAGACCAACTCATTGGTGTCACAACCACAAGCATCCAATCAGAGCCACGTACAAGGGAACCCCCTACCACGGGGTTTTCGAAGGTTTGTCAGAGTCTTGTGTGCGCTTGGTGGCTCCCACATCGGGTTCCAAAGGCCTTTTTGCTGTTTCGCTTTTCAGTGCTTGGTGGGGATTTCTATTTCACCCACAAGCTAAACTTCTAGCAGTCGGACTCTGAGGGCAGCCCAGCTGTTTGCCACCTCGCGGCCTTGGTTGGAGGCTAGAGAGCCTCAAGTCTGCGATCTTGAAAGAGATCCAGGCGGGTCGACCGCTTGGCGCCTTGGCGCCTTTCCGCGCTTGGCGCCTTTCCGTGCATGCGGGCTCCTTTGGGTTGTCAAAATGGGGGGCCCACGAAAATGGGTCTCCTCTTGCTTTCCCAAGCCAAGCATAGGTGTCCTGCGTCCTTAGCTCAGATTGCTTAGACATGGATGGCACTGGTTTGGATGAGGGTTATTCCGTTCACCAGGGAAGCCGATCAGTTTTTTCCAAAGGGCCACCTATGAAACCAAGGTGGCCTTCACTGGGCTTCTGTCAATGCCTCTTCGACTAAAGGATTGACCACAAGGCTTGCCAGGGAACCGACGCCCAGAGGCCACCCTCAAGCCCTCATGCCCACTTGGCTGTGGGTGAGAAATCGGGTAGCCCCAAAACGGCTTGCCCTGGCAAACGGGTTTAGGGAAAAGCAACTCGCAACCCGGTTCATTCCGATTCAACACCCGGAAATCTCTGTCGTCATATCCTACCTATCGCCCCCGGTGGCACAGGTGTCCTTTTTTGTTGTGGTAGAAAAACCCATGGATGGCGATTCCTGGTTTCCCTGGTGGTTCACTCATCTCCCAGGGCCAGCTTTACCAAAAAAGCAACACCTGTGAGGACGACCAGCACAAGGAGGCGGAGCTCGGCGAGCTGAAGGCGCTCATGAGCGACGACTACTTCCGGGCCGGGGGGCCTCAAGTGGCCAAAACTCGAGTGAGGCTTGAGGACAAGCTTTGGTGGCGAGAGGTAGGGAATGACCGAGTTCCGGCGATTCCTGAAGGGAAACCCTAGGATGGAGGGGTTTTCTTGTGGTTATTCCAACTTATTTTACGGCTGAACCAGCAAATTAAGCCGTTGCTTAACATCCACTTTTGAACATTAGACTTTTCACAGCTGCAAAGGCGTCTTCACGTTTCAGGCTTGCCCCTGGTTGGAATGAGTTGCAGAGAGTTTGAACCCTAACAGGAATTCCACTAATCATAAAGTAGCAATCATTATTAGTAAAGATTTCTATGGACATATATCTTCTATATCTATATCTAGTAATTCTCTCTGTATATCTTCTTCAAATTACCTCCTCCTCTTGGTTTCCCTAAGCGGACCAACGGATGTAAACACAAATGGCAACCAGCTGTCGCGGCAGAGGAGCGCGACGGGCTGCTAAAACCAGACCTCATGGCTCAGCGGATTTTTTTCTCGGGGAGAAAGCTTGCTTTTCCACCTGCACATATTTTTTCCACAAGCATGTAACCCGAAGCCATCTTGCTGAAAACCTATGGCAAGCATAGTTTTCCAGTACCCGGAAGCCATCAATCAAAACCATCAGTCAATCAGCAGCAGCTGGATCCCAGGGCACGATGCCCCTCACCGCCGGCGAGCTGGGCTATGGCGCCGCCCCCAGGTTTCAACGTTACTTGGGTCACTCCGTTCGGATGGTCATCCACACTTCCCAGAATTAGCTCCTTTTTTTTTTAATATATATATATATATATATTTGGGTCCCCTTTGCTTTTTGTACTAACCAGGCAAGAAATATAGTGTTTTGCTGTTGCCCTAATTCCAGCCAAGCACATGGGATCCTTATGGCCAGAAGGAGAGGCCATATGGGGAGTTTTGGCCGTCATATGGGTGCTGCTCACTTTCACCTTTGGTTTTGGGACACCACACGCAGAACCACCACATACCTATATCTGACTCGTCACGGAACCTTCAGAAGAATCTAAAATGAGCATGGCTCACACACAGAGTTTTGACCATAGCTCATTTGACCAAGCTGTTTCTCTGGGGGCAAGTGATACTTTTAGAGCCCACTTGATCCATAGGTCGCTCAAAATCCAACTGATTGGGAGGGATGGACATCAATTTCTGGTGGTTTTTGGTTTGACATGAGACGGATTCTGAGTTTGGGATAATGACCATGGCCCGCAATATGTTTGAGTTTGTTCACCATGGCGCATAAGGTCGGTGAGACCCCCCCCCGAATGTACAGCCTTGTGCACAGTCCCAAACCAAGCCTGGGGCACAGGTCCTGTGCCATTTTGTGTGTCTTGGCTGTGTCTTCCATGGTGGGTTTCCAACTGTTCAAGGAAAGCAGGGTCTGCTTGCTTACACCTATTTGGCCCAAGCCTGCAAAACGGCCGTTTAAAACATGAGCAGCAAATGGAAAATCCCCGCCCTCAGAAGTCCTTTTTTTTCCATTCGAGTTCAACATGCTCTTGAACAGCAAGGATTGTGGGTCGGCCTTGTTTCACCAGCAGTCTGTTCGCCCACTCGGTCCACCAAGGTGTGGGACCCGGAGTCCAATATAACGTAAGGCAAGGTGAGGTCCAAAGACGACAGTTGCGTTCCCACGCCCGCCGTCCGGGGACGCCCTTGGCACCTTTGGTCGTCAGGCCCCTCGCGGCGAGAGTTGCCGCCGCAGCTGGCGCCGCCGAGGCCGCAGGCGGAAGCGCGGCCGAGTGGGGGTTTGGGCATGTGTGTGTGTGCCTGCGCGATATTTGTTTTGACATGCGCACAAGGTGGGGCAGTTTCCAACAACCACTGCGTTTTGGCTTTGAAGAACCTTCACAGCTACGTCTGCGTGAAACCTACAGACAGTCAGAACTTGGGGCTGCTTGGAGCAGACTGATTGGGTTCGATCGCCCACTGCCAAAAGCAACAAAACAGAAAGCCACCCTGGCGGCTCGCAGTAGCTAGCCACGACCCTAAACTGGGAGAATCCCACCGCATTCAAGCTCCCCTTGTTGACATCTGGAACAAGTCGTTGCGGCAAAAGTGCTTGGTGGAGCTGAGGGCCCAGAACATAGGTGTCCTTTTTGGTTGTTTGGGTAGAAAATAGATGGCCAGGGCCGCCTATTTCGCCTAGAAGGACACCTATGGCCCAGAATGTCGCACCGAGGATCCTAGAGTCTGAGAACGCTTGAGGCAAAGCATCTCCGCCAACCTTGCTGAACGACAGTCTGTCGCCCGAGGTCGCCAGGTTGTGCCTTTTGGAACGCAGCTTTGGAACCAAACAATGCGCCGGGAAGGGCTGGCATGCTGCGGATGGACGAAATCCTGCCCCACCTAAGAAACCCTGGGATGAGAATTCCCCTGTAAATACCAATTCCCCTGTAAATCCCAACAAACCAGGGGAATTCTCATCATCCATTCCCCTGGTTTCCCATTGCAAAGTGGGCGCTAAATGAATTTCGCAGCCATCCAGTGGGTGTTGAGGCCGACAGGGTTGGGGCCTTTACGCCCCGGAAGCCGGTTTGAAGGGCCATGAACCTTCCGAGCTGCGCCCTTGATGCTTCCCAGCACACGAGTTCAAACTCGTTGCACACGAGGGCCCAGCTTCCGCGAAAAAAGAAGAAGTAAAGCAGAAAACAAGCAAACAAAAGCACAGAAAAAAAGAGAAACGGGCCCTGGTTTTCGCTGGGAAGCCCAAGGGGAGGCGATACAATTTGTTTGGCCTCCATGGAGCCATAGGGCCAGTCGGCGGCTGTTGGGAAACCATCAAGGACACGCCGTGACCGTCCCATACATACTTATATATATATATATATATCTTATATATATATATAAACAAAAAACAACACCGCGGAAGATTGTCCCATGAAGATGCTTTGCAGTACCCCAAACCAATACCTCCAGGAGTTTTATGGGAGATACAGTCACAAAATAGCCACCATATAGAGGGTATACAACACATTTTCTTTTGGGGGGTAGTGGTTTGGGGGTACTAAAAACCATCCTAGATTCCCATGATCATGGTAATTCGGTTTAGCGCCTGGCTACCCTATGATCCCATGGTACGAAGTTGGGTTTTGGACCTTGGTTTACCAGAAGAACCCAAACCAAAAGGAAACCGGCAATCTTGGAGGGCTGATATTTCTTGGAGATGATTTCTTAAAATCTTGGACTGATCATTCAGGTTGCTTTCCTTTTGGTTTCCAGCTTCGCAGCCAAGAAAGCCGTTCTGGGTGTGGCTTGGAGCCAGTTTTGGGCCATGGGCTGGCAAATCGCTTCAGGAAACTCTGCAAAAAGAAAGAGGGGGGACATAGTGAGAGAAACACCCAAATGGGTATGTCTAGAAATGGCCACAAGAGTTGTGTTTTGTTCTTTCCTATTTAAACCAGCCCCAACTTGACCACACATGCGCACAACCACAACCACGAACACGAACATGAACACGAAGACGACAAGGACAAACACCGAATCAAGCACAACAACAACACAACAACGCAAACACAGAACAATTGCACACACACACACACACACGAAGACAAACACAAACAGACAAACACACACACACACAAACACAAATGCACATACACGAACACACGAACTCACGAACAAGAACAAACGAACGCACACACACACACACACAAGCAAAATCGCAAACACAAAGACGATCACATTCACAAACACACAAGCACACACACACAAACACACATGCACAAACACGCACACACACACACAGGAACACAACCACAAATACACAAGTACAAACACACAAACACAAACGCACACACACACACACACATACACAAAAACAACACACATGTGCAAACACACAAACACAAACGCACAAACACAAACACAAACACACAAGCACACACACACAAACACAACGCAAGTACAAACCCACAAACACAAGCCCACAAAGGCACAAACACACACAGAGAAACGGAAGCACAACACACAAGTACAAGCACACAAACACAACCGCACAAACACAAACACAACACACAAGTTCAACACACACAAACACAACACACAAGTGCAAACACACAAACACAAACGCGCAAACACAAGCACATCACACAAGCACAAACACAACACACAAGTAAAAGCACACAAGCGCAAACCCACAAACACAAACGCAACACACAAGTACAAACTCAAAAACAGAAGCACACCAACGCACAAACACACACAGAAACACAAACAAAACACACAAGTACAAATACACAAACACAAACGCAGAAACACAAACACAACACACAAGCACAAAACCCACAACCACAAGCACACAAATATACACACAACAAGCAAGCACACACGCACACACACACGCACAAACACTCGCACAAACAAACACAACACACAAGTACAAGCACACAAGCACAAACGCAGAACCACAAGCAACTTACACAAGTACAAGCACACAAACACAATCGCAGAAACACAAACAAAACAAGTACAAAGACACAAACACAAACGCAGAGACACAAACACAACACATAAGTACACACACACACAAAAACACAACCGCACAGACACAAGCACATCACACAGGTACACACAAACACAAACGCACAACCACAAACACAACGCACAAGCACACACACAAACACACAACACAAATCCACAAACACACACACAAACACAAACACAACACACAAGTACAAAGACACAAACTCAATCCCACAAACACAAACACAACACACAGGTACAAACACACAAACACAAACCCACAAACACAAAAACAAGCCAGCACAAACACACGAACACAAACCCACAAACACAAACACAACACACACAGGTACGCACACACAAACACAAATGCAAAAACACCAACACATCGCACAAGTGCAAACACACAAACACAAACGCGCAAACACAAGCACATCACACAAGCACAAACACAACACACAAGTAAAAGCACACAAGCACAAACGCACAATCACAAACACAACGCACAGGTACACACACAAACACACATGCACAAACACGAATGCACAAACACAAACACAACACACAGAAGTACAACCACACAAGCACAAACACACAAACACAAAAGCACACACACAAGCACACACAGGCACACGCACACAAGCACAAACGCACAATCAGAAACACAACGCACAGGTACACACACAAACGCAAATGCACAAACACGAATGCACAAACACAAACACAACACACACACACACAAGTAGTACAAACACACAAGCACAAACACACAAACACAAAAGCACACACACAAGCACAAGCACAACACACAGGCACACGCACACAAGCACAAACGCACAATCACAAACACAACGCACAGGTACACACACACAAACGCAAATGCACAAACACGAAGGCACAAACACAAACACAACACACACACACACAAGTACAAACACACAAGCACAAACACAACACACAGGCACACGCACACAAGCACAAACGCACAATCATAAACACAACACACAGGTACACACACAAACGCAAATGCACAAACACGAATGCACAAGCACAAACACAACACACACACACAAGTACAAACACACAAGCACAAACGCACAAACACAACAGATAAGCACACACACACACAGCCAAGTCAGTTTGTACTGGGCAAGTTTCGTCAGGCCGTCGCGTCCGCCTTCCCTGTGGAGCCGCTGTCCACGGCTCAGGCGCTTCGGGTTGGGCTGCCCAACAAGTCGCTTGGTTGCTGCTCTTTTTTTCGTCTCCCGAATGCGTAGCAGAAGGGTTCCCGTTGTAGAAAGGAGTCTGGGGGTCAGCATGTGTTCGCGAGATGCGTTCGCAAGCGTCTGTGAGCATTGGCAAGAAAGAGCGTCCGCAAGCGTCCGCAAAGCGGTCGCAGGAGGGCCAGTGGCGATGCGACAGCTTAGAATGTGCGATTTGTATGACTTGCAACATGTTGCTTTCCTTGCGTCCGGGCGAAATCGGATCTTTTGCGAAGTTGTGTGTCGTTTCGCTGCGCAGGCGTGCCATCAGGGGGTTCGTTTTGAGGTGTCTTGCTTGTCATTTTCAATTGCCCTGTCGTACAATTGGCTCGGGTTGGCGAGTGTAAAACTTTTGTGAAAATCAGTCAAAATCGTTATGGCGCTGCAGCCCCGTGCCATTTTCTCGTAAATATGTCGAGGTTGTATTTTGCTTCGCCTGAAGCTGGCTTTGCGCGACAGGCGCAGCGCTTTAGGCACTGTGTAGAGAAGCTAGAGTGTATTTCAAGATTATTACAGCTAGGAACTCGAGTCAGAATTTGGGGGTTAGTTTAGAGGTTCGAGGTAGTTCGGGTTTCGCGTTAGAGGTCGCGGCTGGAGCAAGAGGATAAGAGTTGAGGGTTCGAGGTGGTTGGAGAGGTTGGGCTGTGCAAGGTTCCCACATAAACCAGTTGCCTTTGGTGAAAACATATAGTTTGTCCACACAGCCATATACACATGTATCTCACATTCAGATGGGCTCGCAACGAACCCGGTGCGGGGGCCGTGGGTTTTACTATTCGACCTTGTAGAAACGTGTGTCGTTTATCAAAAGAAGGTCCGCGGCCCAGACACGGCGGCTATCCTTTTCCGCAAATCGTTTGCTCTCCATGCGCACGGCGAGTGCAAAGCTGAACGGGTGCGCTTGAGCGGGCGTGAGTGCCAGTTAGCAGGCCTGTACGCAGCGCTGAGCGGATGCACTTGAGCGGGCGCCCTTGCCATTTGGCAGGCGTGCGTGCGCGAAGCGTCTGTACGTCGCGTAATTTGCCCACGTATTTTTCTATATCCATGTATATTAGTTTATATAATCCCGGCAAGCGGCCCCGTTTTGGTTTCCAGCGCGCGATTTCTGTGCCAAGGACACCCCCTATGATCCTCTACAAATTCTCACTTCAGGGTTTGCAGAGAGCATCCTGCACAAGATTTCTCGCAAGGAAACCTTTGTAGATCCTGTGCAAAGCGTTTTGCGAGGATCTCTGTGAAGGACCAAGGCAAGATATCGGTGGGAGAATCTTTGCAGGATCTCTGCGCAAAATTTGTGGGTAGGATCTCTTGATAGGATCTCGTGGCTGCGCAGGATCCCACAAAGCACCCTTTACAAGTTCACACGCATCCATAAACTACGGCCTTCCTTGTTACATTGGGAGAAACCTCGCTTTTTCGAATCGATTATGTATATACAATATATATTTGTATGTTCCTATAGAATATCCATCGCTCGCTTCCCGGTATCTTGCTTCCTAATTCTTCGGGAGGTGCGGCCGGGCTCTGCGGGGAGTTCTCCGGCGGTGGATGGGAAGGCGTTTTTCAGGCGCGGCAGATACGGACACTCATTCCCAGGGTTTTACTTTTTGACTACCCCAGGGTAGACTTAAACCCAGTGGTTCATTCCCCTCCCCCAAAGCAGAACCCCTGGGTTTAAGTCTATTTTGGGGTAAGCCAAAAAGTGCAGCCCTGCTCATTCCCTGGTCACTCCCTGAGCTCCTGGACTTTTATCCTTTTTGGGCCGCCTTAGTGCAAAGCAAGAAGTTCAGACTCCTTTTGGCAAGTACCCGCTGCTAGATTTTATTTTAGTGGTCCATTGACCAGGCATAAGACACATGACAAGGGTTTGGTGGACACAAATCCCAAAATGATGCATGACCACCAAAGGTTCCCAATTGAGGCTCACACCCAAGGGTTTCGTGGCATTTTGCCAGTCCGTTGGCCAAAAATCCACCTTTCCATCTTGGTAACTCACTCATCTTTTTGACGGGTGCCATTTTAACATGAGTTTCATTTTGGTGGGGGGATGCTTGGCAGGGGGACATGTAAGAATCCCTAGATGTGGCGAGCTCAAGGCTTGAGAGCGCTGCTGAGAACTGTTCGTCTACGTCCTGCCACAACCCCTCACTTCCTGAGTTCTTGGGATTTCCACTTTTTGAGAAGACCATTTTGGTGGCGAAGAGAAAGCTGAGCCGTTTTTGGACCAATCCACCAGGAAGTGAGACCAAGAGTCGGGCCATCAAGGAGAGTTTGTTTGCCTTTCTTAAGATCTTCAGCAGCTGTTCTTCGGGCACGCAGTTCTCCAAGCAAAAGGGGGGCAGCACAACTGATCGAAGCGCACCAGGCCCCTTGAAACTGCCCTGCGGGTGGTTCGAGGGCAAAGCATCCCCCCCTGACGTGAGGCTTGCTCGGTCCAGATTGCCCATCGAGGACGGGAAAGGCAGCTTGAAAGGTCTATGCAACACCTTTTTGGCCCCCGCCCTACTTTTCTTATGCTGCCTAATCGCGACCGCAGCCAACTGAATTGGGATGTTGCAGCCCCAAGGCCGCCGTGTCCACCTACACTGCCACATCTGCAAGCACATTTCATGGATTTTTGAAGTCTGAGAGCCCCAGTGCCACCTACTGCCAAAACTGAAACCTACATGGCCGAAAGCCCCACCTGGAACCCGAACCTTCACCAACTGTGGCTGGAGACCAACAGCTGTTAGAAGCTGAATGGCCCCAGTTGGCACTCACAGCTTGCAGAAGTACTTGGCCCAAGATCTGAACCTCGAAAGCTCCAGGCGGAAGAAAAAAGGCATCACTCCATGGCCTGAATTTTGAAGGCAGGAGGGAGTCAGAACTGCCAATCTGGCCAAAGATTGAGCCGGAAGGATCCAGTTGACAAACATATGTGTCCTTTTTGGTTGGCTTGGTTGAAAAATCGAGGGCGATTCCTGGTTTACCTGGTGGTTCAATCATCTACCAGGGCCATCCATTTTCCGAAAAGGACACCTATGTTGACTTAGCTGTTTGACTCAAGTGTTGCAACTTTCCAGGCTCCGCCCAAAAATGAGGTTTTACAGGCCAAGTGAATCCAGCCTATAGGACAAGCGCAGTAGGTCCAAAACAAATTCTAAGGGGCGAATAGGAAGATCAAATTGAAAGCTTGCCTATCTTCCCATTGAAAGGCAAAGGAAAGGCAGCAAATATGACAATCAAGTTGAAAGCTTGCCCACAGCTAGTTTTTGAGGCAAAATAAAGGCAGCCAGTAGGAAAATGAAGTTGACAGCTTGCCCAAGTCTGGATTGAAGGCACAGGAACGGCAGCAAATAGGACAATCAAGTTGAAAGCTTGCCAACACCTAGTTTAAAAGGACGCGTTAAGGCAGCCAAAAGCAAAATGCGCAAAGCTCGCCCAAATTCAGTTTTAAAGGCAAACAAAGGCAGCAAAGAGGGCAATCAAATTGAACGCCTTGGCAAACGCAAGGTTAAGGGCGAAGCAACGGCATTCAATGGCAAAGTCAAGGGGGTGAAGAAAATACCCAGGTCTGACTGTTTTGTGGCAACATCATTATTTTGGCACCCCGCTTGTTTGAAGGGAGGGCGCCCGCTATTATTCGCACAGCAACATTGGAGTCAGCGGATATAGCCGCAACGTCACGGTTTTGCGTGAAAATCGGTTTATTCAGCTTGCAGCTTGGCGCAGCTCTGTTCTGCTTTTTGCTAGTCATTGCGTTGTGTGTGCCCTATTTTGCTTTGCCTTCAACCCTGCACTGAGGGCCTTGCCCACTGCGCGTGCATAGGCCAGTCTTTGCATTTGCCCGAATTCACAGTGTCTCTTGCGACCGATGGTCGCCGCGGCTTCGGCGCGAATGCTGAGCACAAGCATCCCCAGCCACCGCCAGCCACTTTGTCCGTCAGGGGGTACATGATTGTCTCTCCTGGTTGCAGGCCCATGAGAAACTCGGAGCGACAGGATTGTGATGTCCGAATTGGCTGCCCAACGTGTCAGCTCCAGGTCTTCCCGCGCGAGTGTCGTTGCTGGGAAGGTTTTTCGTGTTTTGTCCCACAAACCAAAACTCAGACTGTAGGTCGAAACTTCGGCTTGGGGTTGTGAATCCGCGCCACTGCAGGCAGGAGCCCTTTCAATATTGAATCATTACTGTGGATGGACGCAATCCTACACCTCTTAGAAACGATGGGAAACCGTTGTTTGTTGGTATGTGCAGGGGAATCATGATTCCAGGGCTTCTGAACGGTGGCGCGAAATGGATTTCGCAACCATCCACAGTATCGCTTGAACCACCTGCCTTTGGTTCTTCCCTTCAAACAGGGGATCCCCGAAATGTGGGTTTGGTCAACCGCCCAGGACTTCAACAAGTTCTTGGCCAGCATCAAGCGGCTCAACAACCAGCAGCAAAGCCGGGAGGCCGGCGGGCGCACGGATCTGTGGGGTGGGACCTCTGGGGCAAGGCGAGAAACTGAAAGAGGATGCGAACAACTGGCCGCTGATTTTTGGTTAGAACACCTGGCAAAAAGTTGGCTTCCAGCCCTAAACCAGCTGCATTTCTGGAGGGTATCTTCTCCATGGTAGGGGTGTTTTGAGAGACCCCAGGTCTGGATTTGGTTCTCAACAAATAGCGCGCTCCGCTTTCGGCTGCTTCAAAGGGAACCCAAGAACAGCATCTGTTGTCTTGGGTCCCTTGTTTTGAGAAACACCCGGGCCTTCCTTCCATTCTGGGCTTGGCTTTGTCAAGCAAACGAGGGTCAAGCCGCTGTTTGGCCGGTCGTGTCTTTCTTTGAGGTGCTTATCTGGGGATACTCAACTCCTAGATGCGGCCAACGATTTTGGATCTTCTCGGAGCCTTGCGTTGAAGATACAACCTCGTTTGCCGCCCTTCGAGCGTCAACAAAAAGGGTTGCAAACCATTTTTGAGGCACGCTGGGCTGTATGGAAGGATTGGATTCTTTCGACTTTGCGGGCTTACAGTTGGGTGAAAGTAGATGGCACACTTTGCCCGCTTGAATTCTGCGGTGTGAGTTGAGCATGCCAACAGTTTACCCCTCATAAAGGCGGCCCAGAGCCAATGTCGACTCCCGTGTTTGCGGAAGTTCGCTGAAGACCAATGGGACCTACAAGCGGTGTGTGTCTTGAGATAGCGACCCCGAAATGGGTTTGTCCTTTGGTCGCTCTTTAACAAAAAACAGTGGCCACCAGAGTTTTGGTTTGGTGGGGGAGCCTTTTTGCATTTGCGTATGTGCCAAAATAGTGAGGCTACCAAAATCGGTGCGTGTTGTTTTGGTTTTGCCTGCAAGCAAACCTGAAAGGGGTACCGTCGGCAGGGTTGACTCTCCATGCTATTAACCCGTCATTGTTTTCAAACACCAGTTGGTTCGCCGGTGTGGTTTCCTCTGTTTTTTGCTGGTTTTCCGGATTCCTGGACAGGTTTTCCGGATTCCTGGAAAGAGTGGAGAAGGTTTTCTCCGGACTTTCGGTTCTTTCGCTTCCGCAGGAGACGCTGAGAGAAGCGAGCGTAGTCTTCGGCCCGGAGAGGGCCGATTTGCCCCGACCTCAAACTCAGAGCGATCGCGCGGCCCCTCGCGCGGCGATGCGTGGTGCTTCCCTAAAAAAAAAGGCGTTTCTTTGTTTGGGGGACCCCCCGTTTCCAGGGTCCGCGGCGGCGGTGTTCATGTTGGTGTCCGTTTAAAACCACCAAAAAGGAGCAGAGAAAGACAGACCCACATGGAGGTATTATGTATGATCTCTGAGTGCCCCATCTCAAGGGCTCCCCAATCCCCTTTCTCTTTCCGACCAAAAGGAGAATACCCACGATCCTCTGTCTCTAGGCTTGGCCGTTCATCTTTTTCATTCCTTCCCGTCTCCTCATCCTACGTCAAGAGACGGGAGAAGGAATCATAAGGAAAAGATGGGCCACACGCCAGTAAAAGATTAGAAAAGGCGTGTGGGCTGGTCTCTTCGTTCCCAACCATGAATTCGCGGCAATAAGAGATGTCATTAAGCCGCGAGACAAGGAAGGAACGAGAGCGGCAGGGAAGACTAATCCGCTCTCTCACTCACTTCGTTCGTATGTTGGGGTCTCGCCTATTAACTAATTCTCATGGCGAGGCAAAGGGACGAAGCGAGCGAAGGGAGCACTCTCCATCCCTCACACCCACTCACTTTGTTCGTCTCGCGGCATATCTGTTCACTCCATCCTGCCCCTCACGCCGCGGCGTAGACAAGGCCTCACGACTGCCGCGCTCATGCCGTTCGTTCCCTTCGTGTCCTCACTTCTTCGCTTGTCCTCGCTTCGCCACTCACTTTGTTCGTTCTTCCTTCGCGAGCTCGTAACTCAGGGACGAAGCGAAGGGGTGGCGAAGAGATAAGAGGACATGCCTTTTTCCCTTCTATATCTTCTCCTTTTCATATGGTTTTGGCGCCTCGGTACCCCACCGTTTTGGGCGTTTTCCTCGGACAATTCCAGGATGCGGACCTATAGGTGTGTTTTTCTTTTGGGGATCCTTAAAATGGCGGTTTTCCTCTTGGTTTCCGTTTCACACCACCCGAAAAGGGGTACCACCAAAAATAGAGACACTCAAAAAGGGACCCTGCCAACGTTTGGCACAGAATTTGTCAGCGCGCGCGGTTGTCCAGGATCGAATGCGGGATCGAATGCGGCCTGCTTTACTCGGTTGCCTGCTGCCTGCTGGCGGCCTTCTTTGTTGGCTTAAGGGGAAGCACGGAAGCACCCGAAGGAAGCGCCTGTAGGGCAGTCAAAAAGAAGCTGGATGATACTGACAAGAAATGAAGTCTTAACAAAATAAAGGAGAATCTGGATAAACAGCAAATATGTTTAAATACCATTTCCAAATGTAGAGTTTGAAGAGTTTGAAGAGAACAATATAACAAAATGGTTTGATTAGGAGGTAGAGCTGGTGTACTAAAACACAAAGAGTCATACTCATCATGGTAGAAGCAAGCGTCCCTAAGTACGGCCAGCAAAAGGGTAAATTAGGAAGACCATCATAACCATCTTGGTAAGCAGCCATTGGTTTAGGGAGAACGGCCTAGAAAAAGAAACTACATAAGCATAGCTTCTTAGGGGCGGACTGTGTTCGTGCCCAACAAAGGAAAGACCTGGAGGTTGTTTAAACAGTTTGGTTTACACCATTGTTGAACAAGTTGCCTACCAGGGCCAACGTCAACGCGGGGTTCTGAAGTGATGACAGGACCGACAGTGTACTTGTTTTTGCCCCAGTGGGCGGAACACCTGGGTTCGTCTCAAAAATGGGGTGACCCGCCAAAAAGGGTGGTTTTCCTTTGGGCGTTCCTAAAAAAACCAACCCAAAAAGGGGTACCCTCAAATAGGAGCAGGTGATATCCCCAATCGCCGAAAGCCCCTGGAACCCTTTTGAACCCTGAGACCTTGTCGCCTTTGGGCTTATCGCCATAGCTTTCAGATCAAAGACAGCTTGGATTTGGATTTGGTGGCAGGCCTTTTTCATTTGTCCAAGGGGTATGCCCTTTGGGGTACTCTCACCCCAGGAGGGTTCTTGCAGAATCCAAATGTGAAGCCACCGCCGGCCTCTAAACCTCCAAGCAACACTAAGTATCTACCAGTCACCCCGCTTGACAACCAAAAAACACACCCACACACAGTCCTGGAGCAAAAAACAAAACACATCCCCCATGTCTGCTTTCACAGTTTGAAGCTCTTCACTCTCCTTGGCCAGCTTTTCGTTTTTCTGGTTCTGTATATTTTTTGCGGGGGGGGCTGCCAAAAGCAGTCCGTTGATTGCCAGCCCATACTGTGGACGGACGAAATTCTGCACCACCTAAGACACGTTGGAATGCTGATTCCTCTGTAACTACCAACCCATGAAGTGGCTTCCGATGAGTTCTTCGGTGGTGCGAAATGGATTTCGCAAAACCCTCCACAGCCTTCGCATGCTGGAGCCGGGGGGCGCGGGCGCCCCGCGCTCCCGTGCCGAGGTTTCGGGACTTCGAGGCCTTGCTGACCCGCCACGGCATGCCGCGGGAGCCCAGCGGGGCGGGGCCGGAAATCATCCCCGCCCCCTGAAAAATGGAATTGGGGGAGGGGGATTTCCCCTGGATTTCCAAATTTCTGGTTCCATTTTCCCGTTAAACAAGGGAAGACCAGAAATGGAATTGGGGGCCCCCCACCCCCCTCCCCCTGCAGCAGGGGGGATGCCCCGTCGAACGGATTTTTGGGGCCGGAAGGGTGAACCCATGTCTCTTTATGGCTGTTTTAGGCGATGGTATTGAGTAACCAGGGTGAACCCATCTCGCTTTATGGCTGTTTTAGGCGATGGTAGGGAGTAACGCAATCTTGCTCGGACAGTATAAGACCTGGCCGAGCCATCATGCTCTCGTCCCGTGGAGACCACAACAAGTCCGCTGGCGTCTTTATGGCTATGTGGCAACTGATCTTTGGAGTTTAGCTTCTTGGTTGAAACAGGTCTGATTTTCCGAATTGGACTCACAAAAGGGAAACCATGTTGCAGAGGGGTCAACGGCAACCAAGTTATATGCATTTCTGGCAGTGCCCCTGCAGATTACAAATTGGACTCCAAGAAGCCATCGGTTCTGGAGGAGCCCATGCTCAACAGAGTGGCATGACTTGTGAGGCACGTATGTTCCAAGAAAAGGAGTAGACTGTAGTCCATCTTGGAGGAACAGTGGCCTGCCTTTCCATTCTTGGACGGGGAAGATTTGTTTTGGGACCGGAACCCACCTCACCAACCCTTGCTTTTGCAATTGGACACCTATTGGTGTGGCAATATGTCCGAGAGACTCATGTGGAACCTACAACCACCTGCAGGTTTTGGGCCATGCGCACTGAGGTGAAGCTGCAAAGCGATCAGCTTCCGATGGTCGGGATAGCGTTCCGGTCTCCTTGGCAGGCTGTGTTTTTTTCCCGCGGGCGCGGAGGGATGTTGGGGGTTGAGAACCGTGAGTCGATTACTCCTCGTTTGCGAATTAGGGGTCCCCCGCAAGGCATATGGGTGTGTCATGGTGTGTCTTTTGTAGCGGTACCTTTTTTATTTTTGAGATTTTAACAGGGACACCGAAAGGAGAACAGCTAGATTGAAGGGCCCCTTGGAAAAAGACAGACCCATATTCGGATGGTTGTTCGTGGTAAGTAAGAATAGTTTTTAGCGCCTTTTCGGACGTGCAAGATGGTTGTTCGGCGCTTTTTGCCAGCACGGAGGTCCCTCTCCAATGCCCAGTGCGAGCTTGCAGCTCTCCCACAGACGGGTCAGATGAAAGGGTTTGGAGTTGGCTTGCATCAGTCACCTACTGACCCCAGACCAAACCTCGAGCAAGAAATATGACAGTCAGCCTTTTCTTGGCGTATTTCCCTTTTGTGTTTTGTTCACGTGTTGTTTCATCATGTGGCAAAACGGCCGAATGGCCGTTTGGCTCAAGATTTGGATCCCCCGTCGGGACTTCCTTGGATTTGCGTGCGTTCGCCATAGTGCGGCGATTGGCTGCACCATCGCGGAAAAGGTCCGTGGTGTTCCAGCTGTTCGGCACTAGGAGGTGGGCGGCAGGTCGCCGAGGTGCTCCCGGGCCCGACCCGTGTCTTTACCCTCTTCTACCAGTTTCCTAACCTCCCCAAACTTGATCTTCACTAACTGTCACTCCCACAATCTGGTCACCGGCACCCTCTACATTGTGCTTTGGGACTGGGTTCTTTTGGTACTTCGTGAACCACGTGTACCTCTTTGATTCCCTGGGCTACTTCGTGTTCGCCCAAAACCGCAGGTTATCAGCCGTACCAGCTAGAAGCTGGGGCTGGTGATCCGGTTGCGGGACGTGACCCGCTACCTGCTCCCATCGCCTACTTGTACGAGCAATGGCGTCCCCCGGAGCTTCTCATCGTGGGCCGGGCTTCGTGGACGACGAGGCCAACGCCCTTCGCGGCAACGCCGCGCCTGCTGCTTCCGGCTTAGACAGCCGGCTGTGGCCCATTCCCCCGATGGTGGGCGCAGAGCCCAATCCCGGGGTGATCACGGACGATTGGATCCTTTCTCAGGTTGTGTTTGATGAGGATGCGGAGGCCCCTATCCCGGCGGCAGTGCTCCAGATCGAGGACGGACCCCCTCTAGAAGAGGCTGAGGTTCCTCCAAATCAGGTGCCCTCATCGATTTCGCCTACTGTTCCGTTCGTGGCGCTCCAGATCGAGGACCGGGCTATCCATCATGCTGCTCATCCGGAGCCGGCTCAATCATGGTCCCTTACATGGGATCAGTTTGACCAACTCCTCGGCAGTGGATCGCAGGCTACACCGCCTGATTTCGGTCGGCTCGACTTTAACTCGGGTGCCCCCGTTTCGGTTGGGAATCTGGATTTTCAATCCCTTTTTGATGCTGATTGGAGGTCTCAGCCTTCCCGAATTGACAGATCCTTTGATGCCCTGCCGTCGCATGAGCCTACTCAGGGTTTTCCTCATGATGGAGAAAATGACCCCGTTGAAGATTTCTCCCCTTCTCATGTTGCAGGTTCGGCCCAACCCGAGGTGGGCAAACGGGCGATTGAGGATTGGCCGCAAATAGCTGGCCCTCCTCCCGTCTCAGGTTCATCCGACATTGACATCATTCACGATCACCCCAGTCCGGCGGATATGGACTTCATCCCTGATGCAGTATCATCTCACCTGTCAGGTACCCGTGACCGGAATGCGGACCGCTACAACGCTGGTCCGAATCCACCGCTTTCCTCAGGTACCCGAGGTCGGGATGCGAACCGCTACAACGCGGGCTCAAATCCGCCAAATCGGACATCAGGTACTAATCGATCGGATGTGGGCCGCGAAACAGCAGGCCCAAATCCTTCCTCCTCTTCGTCAAGAAGCCATGCCGGTCTCTTCGCGGCGTTCAATCGGCGTCAGACTCGAAAAGAGTCCGCCCCCGACATCATCGACCTCGAGGAGCAGTCCAGCCACCGTACCAGCGATGGATCCGAGCAGGATACACCTGGTATTGGCTCCACTCCATTTGACCTCCTCGACATCCCCTTCCATCAGCCACCCAGGAGAGGAAATGAAGATGATGAAACCATCCCTGGAATCCTTGATGTAATCGATGAGGCCGAGGTCACACCAGAGAGACGAACGACATCGCTCCCGCCGAGCCGCGTTGCCAAAGTACTTTCCCCTAAGCCACTCATTGGTGACGTTGCTCAACGGCTTGATCTCACTCAACCTGATCCAGATCAAGCTCAACTTCGCGGGTCGTCATCTTTTGATAACATGTCGGGACAAACCGGCACTGACTCACGAGCCACAAAGAGGAGCTCTGAGTCACCCGAGAGACGTGAAGCTGCTTTGCGATTGCGATCTAATCCCCCAGCTCATCACGATCCTATTGACGTTCCTATCCACTCTGCGGGGTCTGGGCTCAGCTCCAATGCCCCGATGTCTGAGAAGGAGACTGATGACGGGATTAACTCTACGCCCAGGAATCGGAGACCTGGACTCAGCACTGTTGCTCCTGGTCATGGAGGGCTTCCTTCAAATCAACCGGTCAACAACTCCCTCGTCCCCGCATTCTTTCAAATTGGAACTCCGGGCTGCACTCCTGACAGGGAAGAAAATAGGCGCGGAGATCATGACGCTGATAGTCGTCCTGCTCCGTCTGCTTCCACAAGTGGCGGCCATCCTGTTGCATCTGAGCTTCAACGACTGCTTCTCGCGATCCACAACGAGGTAAAGGGGTGCAAGGCCGAAATCCAGGGATGCAGAACCGAGATTCGTTCATGTAGGGATGATATCAACGCTTGCGTCGGTGAGATCAAGAAGATCAATAACCGTGTTGACGCCTTCGAGAAGAAGGTTGAATCATCTTTCTCTGCCGTTGCCGGAACTCTCTCAAAACACGAGGCCAAGTTCCGTGATTTCCACGAGTGGGTCGCCCGAAGCGAGAAGGAGATGAATGAGCGTTTCAAGATGTATGATGAGAGGTCTGACTCGATCGTCATATCCGCTGCTGAACTTCGCGAGCAGGCCGAATCACTTGAGAACGTCAAGGTCCAGCTCCTTAGGTTCTCTGAGATCGGGGCCCTTGAGGCTGAGGTTCGGAAAATCAAGGACGAAGTTGAGGCGAACTCTCGCAGTGTCATCGACATTGAGGGAACCATCTCAAGGGAAAGAACCATCCGTGGGAACGTCGAGACGTATATCCAGCAGCTCGTTCCTGCGACCGACCTGAAGCAGTTCAGTGATAGGATGTCCGGAGCTCTCAATGAGAACTCACAGAAACAGGAAGAGTTCAAGCTTCAATTGTCCCGTATTGCTAGATGCGTCAAGGACCTTCATGACAAAAGCTTAGGCCCCAATCCGAGGGACATGCAAGAGCAGTTTATGAAGCTTGTGCTGAGGGTCAATGAGATCAACATGCAGATCGCTGAGTTGAGGGAGCAACCTCTTGCTGCCTGCGGATCTTCAAGTGCTGGCGCTGCTTCGACCGCCGGAACGGGACCATGGGAGAAATCTGGAGACACTGATCCCTTAACCCAGGGAAGGGCTCCTAGAGATTCTCCCTCTCGTGATGCTCGCACCGTCAGCTCGGCTAGGCCTCCTCCACCTCCACCTCCTTCAGGGCCACCCCCACCGTCACCATCAGCCCCCATCTTCGGCAGGGATCCCTCTAGAACGAGGGCCATTGCTCGGGCTGCCGGCGCTGCCCCTGATAACCGGGCCAGGTGTGATCATGAGGAGCCCGGGCATCCACAGCATCGGGAACCTCGCTATCCATGCCGAAGCTGCGGCAAGTCAGTCTGCGAAGACTGCTTTGACCATGATTGTAACTCGTGTTTCAAGTGCAGCGATCAGTTTCCTAGATGCCGCGCATGCAGAGGAAGAGGGGGGAGACACGGACTTGTGAGGTGCCTCATATGCAAGGACGAGTACTGCGATCAACACATCGCCTCACCTGACGATGTGCGCCGTTTTGGATCGAGTGTTCGACCTATTTGCCTCGGTTGTCTGAGAGCTGACCCCGACGGGAAAACTAAGCATCGCGGTCCCAGTGCGGGGCCTGGAGGACCTGATTGCATTCCTGATCATAATCAGCGGGATGGCACTGCTCCTGATCCTGGATCCGGGCCATCACGTGGAGATCCGTCACATCGGAGTCCTGAACCGCACCAAGGGAACTCTGGTTCCTGTTCCCACGCCGGAGCTGCCGGGCCAATGCCACCAAGGGCAATGTCTTCGCCCGTAGTCGGGCGAGCAGTTCCGAGGGGGACCATCAACACGTATCCCGGATGTTCCCCTACAGGGGGGATTTTCACCGGTCAGGTTGAGCATGGAACGTCTCAGGGAGTCATTCGCGGGAGGTACGGACCTGACGCTGCTGTGACAAATCAGCAGAATCCACAGCCTCACCACGGAGTACAGGATAACTCTGGCGGGCCGACTGGTTTCTCTCTTCCACCAGGACTCGGTAAGGGTGCGCATGGCGCCGGTGGCGTCGGCGGTATTGGAGCTCCCGATCTTCGCCGATCTTCCGCTGAGGAGAGGGTCTGCCCTCGATGCAACATAAATGTCAAGACCAGCATCCCCGGGACGCCTCCATGTTTCCAAACTTGTTCGTTGTGCCGCACTTCTCTATGCGCCGCGTGCTGCCCGCCATCGTCCGGGAGTTGCTCTCTGTGTGCCATATCCATTGGCAGAGACGGCGTTTTACCTCCCCATGTTTTTGGGCAGGCTACTCGACCGCCCTTAACTTCGTTGCCATCTGAGGCGAACAAGTGCGCCAACATAGAGCTCGAAAAAGAGCCCGCACCGCATGAGTTGCGAGACTGGATCATTTCCACGAGAGAAATCGTGAGCAACGCATTCAGCTATGACTCGCCATATGCCATGTCTTGGGTCATGAGTGTCGAAAACGCCAGCACAATAGAGGAACTTGATGGGGAGTGCCTCTACCCGATCCTTGACAATAAGTTCAATGCTG